TTGTTATTCGATGAGGAATATGTCTAGCATTGATCATCTGGCCATAGACTTTTTTGTGCCCTGTGTTAGTCTCAAAATAACCGAAGTGTTACGTTGACGTTACCTTAAACCCTCACTTTCCACATACTGGCGTATTAACAACATGTTCTTATCCACCCCAATTAAAGCAACATCAAAATAACAATCATGGCGAGAAAAACAGCAAATCTACGACGGAATTTAAAAAAAGTAAATAGAGAAATATTTGTATAAATTAATGACGAGGAACAGCTAATGATGTATATAAATCCACACTGTTAAAATACGTGTTCAATATTACAACACTATTCTTGAAATCCTTATACGGCATTTAGTAATTGAACATGTAATATAAAAACACAAATTTATATGGAAAACAACCATTGAGTTTATTTCACACTACTTTCAACAAATTTATACGGAAAACAATCACTGAGTTTTATTTCACAATACGTTTCAGCAAGTTCCTCTTGAAACTTGAAAATTACTTGAGAACGACAAGAGGAACTTATTTACTTGAGAACGACAAGGGGAACTTGTTGAAACGGAGTGGGAAATAAAATAAACTAAGTGATTGTTTTCCATATAAATTTGTGTTTTAATATAACACTATTCTTATAATGCGAGTGTATACACTTAAATATGCATTATGTAAGACAAGGGCTAAATCTGCCTATTGCAGGTCTTTCTTTTGACCTTTTATATGTTATATAAATTATGAATTAGACATTTATTCACATGACAAACCCATAATCAACCCTCTAGTTCAACGGATGGATGCAAATTTCAGTGGATTAAAATACAATCGCCATTTAATAATTTAATATTAAAATGGATAATCGAGACTTTGTTTATTATAGTAACGACGGTACTGACAATCGAGGCTGTATTGTGAACATGTATTTCAAAGACTGATAACATTGCTCAGAAACGTGTAATTTGACTGAAATTTTCAATATATTCATTTTTCATTATCCTTTTTTTGAAATATTATATCGTGCACGGGATCAGCTCTTTATCTAAATCTCACATAATGCATCTTTAACCAAGCGTTTAGAAATGTATTCTTTGTTTACTCTGTTAAGTCTAGCCATTATTGACTTTATTCTGTTGTTCTTTACTGAAAGACTGTTCTAACGAGACGTTAAAACAGACTCCTTTTCCAAAATATATCAAGGACGATGTACCAAATACCGTGTGTGACGTCTTCAGCCATCTTGGAATTACGTCATATCAAATATTGTAGTTCGTCAATCGATGCGCAATTGCCCAGGTTCCCAAGAAAAAAGCATGTCAAGTTTCCTGTCGATCGTACTTGAATTGGCGGGACCTTGAAATTTTTTCAAAGAGCGTCGTCCCCAAGAATAAGAAGAAGAGCAACAACAACACTACTAGTAGAACTTGATGAACAGTTCCTGCCCCTCCCCCCCCCCCCCGAAAAAAAAAACAATCTTGGCTTGGCCGATAGAATATAATTTCGACTCTGGTAATCGAAGACTGGATCACGTGATATAAATCCTTATATCATTCCCATTATATAAATATATTAAATATGTCATTATGATGACGAACATCCTCATGAAGTGGAGGTCATCAAAGTAGATATTTTGAAGGGCTTTCTACCCTACTACGACAGTCTGCATCCTTAGAAAAAAAACTGAACTACTTCTGTCTTCTTTGAAGTAAGTTCAGGCGAGGTCTGTTATACTTCGTCATATACAAGAGTATGACGTCTTTGGTGTCTTCGAGGAATCCAGGAAGTAAAGCACCGGTTTCCAGCCTAATTTACGCATGACAGCGGTGCCTGGGTGTCAGGCAAGGAAAATGTATATATCGGGCGTTAAAAACCGGAATTCAGCTCCTGTGTGTGCATTGACGTGCACGTAACTCGATAGTCCAAATTCGATGAAGACTAAACGGAAACACCACAGACCGAGCAAAATATTCTTAATAGCACACTACATGACATGAGTCTGTCTACATTAGCCAGGTTGGCGCAAAAACAAAGGGCGTTAACCCCTATTTCATTGATTTGAGCGAGTGGCGTTTAGCGCATTAAGTATTGTTTAATGTTCGAGAGCGAGACATTCAGTAATTTGTAACAACAAGAGGGTCGTAGTCCTGAATGATTTTACAATATATTATGCAATGTCTTTAGCTCGAGACCATTAAACGACTTGCAATACAGACACTCCGCACGTGCTTTTACAGTGAAATATGTCACGCGAGTCCAATATTTCACTAGTATAAATAATGTACGATTATTGCGTGCAATAATGGTACGCAAACATCAAAGGGTGACGTTACATCTGTATTTTAAGACCATTTATATCGAATACAGGCGCTGGTTTATTATACATACAGCCCACCATCCCGAACCACTAACAAGGGGAAAGCAGTTTGGAATATCCCAACGAACTAACACCGTAACCAAACACTGGTAATTGAGCAAGTCCTATACTCGATGATCCGTCGTGGCTCTCAGCTGCCAGTCAATGATTATTATTTATTGTATAAATTCTGTTTTAACGACTCTAATACCGCTTAATTTAAACATTTTATATATAAACATGCATTATGCAAAAGCTAGATCTGCCTATTTCAGGTCTTTCTTTAGGCCTAAAATGTTATATAAATTATTAATTAGACATTAATTAACTTAGAAGACTATAAACTACTCTCGGTGCCTTTGGATGGCTATGTTATAAGTGGATTTAAATAGGTTTCGTGGCCGATGCGGTTACCGTGAAAATTGATAATCGAAACTTATCGAGGCTAGACTATTATTGTATCGTCGATATCTAGGCTTAGAATGAAGTAATTTGACTGAAATTTTCAGCATATTCTCCTTTTATTATCTATTTTTTAACTACGATAATTTTCATCCCTTTATCCAATCTTATTTAATTCCGCTTTAACATATATGTGCATTGTGTGCATTACCCCTGAAAAACTTTGAATGCTTTTTCTTTTTCCTTTTTTTAGATAATGGCTACTCGACGAAAACTAGGTCATTTTCGGACTAACATACGATTCAATTTTATAAATCGCTTGGACGTAGGAGTTTTAATTATCTATAGGAGGAAACCGGGTGATCACAAGTTGTTGGACAGGCGATCCTACTCATTGTAAACCACGCCACTTGACTCAATTTATGGAAGATCTTATAATACAAAACGCATACGTTAAACCATTCTGGCAACCAAATTTCAATGCCTAAAAAATACAATTGGTAATTTTTAGCGTCTGCTAAATGCACATTGCGTGTTTTTAGCGTGTACTAAATGAATATCGCTTATTTTTTCGTGTACTAAATGAACATGGCGTGTTTTTAGCGTGTATCAAATTGTAATTTATGGGAAATCTATCAAGTTTAAGGAGAGGCTTCTAACTACTTGAAACAGGGGTTACAGGGGTGTGATCAAATATCGAGATTTCACTGTAGCGAAACGAGCTTTGGATACTAGAAGTTCTAATTATGGCGGGGAAACGATCGTGCACCTGTTGAAGAGATTAACATATGAATGTGATAGCCTCCAAGTAAGACGTGAAAATTGACATAACTTCGATCGACCTATTTTGATTTATATTCCCGTGTTATCAAACTGTTAAAGCTATTAACAATAGAAATGGCGTGACCACCGGTATCCCAAGACACTAACATCTCAAGTGCTTCAAGTCAATTGGAGAATTCCAAAGCCTTCTTGAGAAAAGGGTAACTCTAGATAAGTTTAATTGAAAAGTTTATCAAATTCTGTTCGCTATCTAAATGAGTTTCGCTCCGATGCCACCGAACTCTCAAAGAAAAAAAAATAATCTTGGAATCCGTTTTGTTTCTGTAGTTGTAAAGTTTTGTTTTCTATGCCCTAAGATAAGATTATCTAACACTGAACTGGAGATATTTCACCTAGACTTTAATTGCATCTAACAGAGGATAAAATAGATTTAGCAATCATCTCAAAGCCAAGAATTCTGGTTACTTACATTCCAACCCTATTCATAGTTCCTAACCCAATTTGAATCCCATTTTGTGCCTCATTTGGGGAGCCCCGGTGGCTCAGTGAGTAAGACTTTGGCTCGCTAACTTGGAGATCCGGTGTTTGATCACTGCGTTGGCCAAGGAAAATTATCGGGATTTTCTTTGCCAGTGATGTAGCACGGAGAGTCTGGCAAGGGACAACGTACAGATAGATGTTCGTAGGTCCGCGTGCACATTGTCGTGCACGTAAAAGAACCCTTGCCCATTGGAATTCGATATAAGAGTAGGTCATAGCGCCGCTATCCGGGCAAAATAGACAACATAGCACACTGCATGGAGTATGCCTGTCTCCATTATCCCAGTCGGTACAGAAAAGTAGGACGTTGAATCTCATTTCATTTCATTTGCGTTTGTCGGATAATATCAAATCTACCACAACTCAATCCACGCTAACGTGTACCCAAATTGATTACTTAATCAAGAAAACCAAAAACCATCAACATATTATAGCGGTGGCGATACATGCTTTAACCATGCTATGTTTATCTGCAGTGACTGTTGAATATAGACATATTTTCAGTTCAACATTACTTTGTAAATACGGAACGGAATTAAGCCAATTTTGCATTGGGATTCCTTTTCAAAATTAAAGTTTCACAATTAATTTACAAGGGATTAAAATTCACTCAAATGGCAAGCAGAAACTTTAATATGTTTTTGTATATTTTGTATATATTTTGATTTTGGTACGAATATTCTAAGCCTGCACGAATGACAATCAGAAACTTTATGCGTTTTTGTAAACGTTAATGTGTTTTTGTAAACTTTAATGTTTTTTTGTATTTATTTTGGAATGGATAATTTAATTCTGCTTAAAAGACAACCAGACACTTTATTGCGTATTTGTATCTATTTTTAAAAGAATAATTTAATTCGGCTCAAATGACCATCGGAAACTTTTTTGTATCCATTTTGATCTAAACAATTGTATTTCTTTTTACAGCACAACCATTTTAAAGGATCCTACCCAGTGTTGGTGTTTGTACATGGTGGATCATATCATAATGGAATGGGCGCCATGTTGGAAGGGGGTTACCTGGCTTCTTATGATGTCATAGTCATCACCTTTAACTACAGACTAGGTCCTTTAGGTAATACAAACGTTTTTTTTGTTAAAGTAGCTAAGTCTCTAACTCAATATCATCCAAAGTCTTCGACATTGAAAACACGAATTATTTGTCAATTTAAATCAACATTGATGTTGTTATCGTATCTTGAAAAGATGGGCTTCTGATATCAAATATTTAAGACAAAAAAACATTTTACCATTGGTACACGAATCGTGTATCATAATACGTTTTAGCGCCATTTGTAACAAAGGACTCGAAGAACGAGGCTAGACATATTCCACAAGTTATGTCAAACGGTGACATACGCAATAAATACTATCGGTGTCGACTGAAATAACCAGACGCTAGAGATTGTCATTCGATTGAGACTTCTGACGTATTTCGCCGAACATAACTAATTTGAAATTAGCGTAAAAGCGGAAACGTTGCATGTAAATCAGTTTATATACATTCATACCATTTGTATCAATTTCTAGGTCCCAAATATTAGTGATTTAGCTCCTTTCCGGCGTGGTTCCCCCTTGTCAGTGATGCAGGACGGAGGGCCTGACAGGGACAGCTGTCTAGTCGTTCGGATGAGATGAAAAACCGAGGTCCCGTGTACATATTGGCGTGCACGCAAAAAGATCCCTTGGCAGTTGGAATTCGATATAAGAGTAAGCCGTAGCGCCGCTGCCCGGGCAAATTTCCCTCATAGCACACTGTATGGCGTATGCCCGTCTTCATTAGCCCAGTTTAGGAGCAGACGTTAAACCCCATTTCATTTCATTTCATTTCTATTTAGCTCCTTTAAATAATGTGTTATTTTGTCCTGGGTCCCCATTTTTGTTTTGCTGCGTTGTAGATTTGCTACGGTATTCCAGTCTCTCGAGTATAATTCCCCGGGTTCATTATGCATCGTTCAATGGACTGTTATATTGCAACGTACACTTTGGCGTGACCGACGTATTATGTTGCACCAACTGGAATAGTGAAGTCTACTATAAGGGAAATGTTGCCATGGCAGCGTCAGGGGCTCTTAATCGTTTTGCCAATTGTATACATGGGGCCGTCCGTCCTTCACCCCTGTGTGCCCACTAAGGACCCTCCGTCCTTCACCACTGTGTGCCCACTAAGGACCCTCCGTCGTCCTACACTACTTTGGGCCCAATCCTGCACCACTCTGGGCCAACCACGGACCCTCCGTCCTGCACCACTGTGGGCCACCTACGGACCCGCTGTCCTGCACCATTGTACATCCACTATGGACGCTCCATCCTGCAACACTATGGACCCACTGTAGGCACTCCATCCTGCACCACTATGGACCCACTATAGACCATCAACCCTGCATCACTGACAAAGGATATTCAAAGCTGGAAAATCCCGAGGACCTTACTCCTCGGGGTGGAACCAGGGACCCCTTGCTTTCTGGGTGGTGATCGATCTGCACCGTACTCACAGTATAGATCAAATCAGAAGAGTTCATTTGAAAGTGAGGCCTTATTAAACATGCATTATGTATGAGCTGAATCTGCCTATTACAGGTTTTTATTTCTGCTTCAAATGTTATATAAATTATTATTAAGACATTTATTCACACGACAAGGCTGTAATCACTCTCTAGACCATCGGATGGTGCAGATGAAAACGGGTTGAAACACGATTGACATTTAATGATCTAATTTAAAAATGGAGAAGCGAGGCTGAGTCTGAATTAACAAGTAACGTTGCTACGATAAAAACACAATCTATGTCGTCAAAACTTCAAACGGGGATAACGTCGCTCAGAATAAACTAATTTGGTTGAAATTTTCAATATATTAATTTTTCATTATTCATTTTTGAATTATTATAGAATAAAACTAGTGGTTGTGTCGCATAAAAACTGTGTTCTATTAATATCTTTCTCGATGGCTAAATGCCACTCAAAGATTATATTATAGAAGGAACGGACAACTCTTTATCTAAATCTTATATAGTCCACCTTCAACTCTAGTCGGGGGGTTTGGATGGCCGAATGGTTAGAACGTGCTCGCTGTATCATAAGGCCTGTCATTGAGTCAACTGGCGTGATTTTGAATCCCCGGTTGTACGTGACAAGGATTATGGCCGCCTATCCAACTTCGTGGGTTTTCTCCGGGTCCTCCGGTTTCCTCCCACTGCTAAAGACCCCTACGCGCAAGCGATTATTGAAATAAAATTAAACCATATGTTAGTCCCGAAATGACCTAGTTTGTGTCGAGTGGACGTTAAACCCCATTTCTCTCTCTCTCTTTTCAACTCTAGTCACACATTAATCCAACCCGTGACCTTGATAGACGTCACGAAATGATGACTGGTCAGAACAGTTAACAAATTCTCTATTTTCTTATTTTGTTTTGTTAAAATGTAAAACCAGAAGAGTTGAGTCGAATGTGTGTCCATAGTAACCTTAGACTTAACATGCATCCAACTCGTGGTCATAACAGAACCCACGAACTGATGACTGGGCAAACATGATGATATCCGATTCAATCGGCACCCACGGTTATTTCATGGTTGTCTGTTATCCGATACTTGTTGATTAGAAACGTGTTTTATACAAAAACACATCTACAAGTTACCTAACAATAATTATAATGTATTGGTTTTAAAATCAACACTCTCCAAAACACGAATTAACGGCCTACTTAGAACAAACGCACCAAAATTAATTGAACGGTTCCATTTTCAAACAGAATCACGTGCAAGTTATCTGGCCTCGATTATAGTGACTTTGTTGTAAGATAACTGCTGACTCTGCGCAAACTCCTCCACATTATCACTATTGTCTACGTAACTTTTAAGCTTGTCCCACATAAAAATTTGATCTTCTCTTGATGAGAAATCTTGAATTTAGACTGGTTTCAAAATGAAATATGAGATTAAAGTTCTATTGTTCTACACATTTGTATTTATTGCATATTTAAACGTATTAAATTATTAATTAACTAAGCATTCTAATTGAATAATTTACTTTACTTATATCCATTTTATTGTACATACGTTTACATTATAACTATCAATGATCAATGTAAAAATAGAATTATATTTATTAAATTATTTGCATACTGTGATAAGTGCTCATCTCGACATATTTATATTAAATAACTAATTATCTACAACTTATATTTACTACTAAGTTCAGACTCGGAATATTATGTCTATCTACCAACTAGTTTATATCAAATCGTTGTTTTGTATATTAAAATCATAATTTATATTCCTTCCAACAGTCAATTTTTTAAAAATGTTTTGGTAATTATTAGTAATTTCTTACTATAATTTGAATTTATCTTGTTTATTCTCAAATTTGTGGTGACAAATTGTACTTTAATATAGCACCCCAGCCATTATCGTGGGCCACAGTGGCTCAGTGAGTAAGGCGCTGGTTCATTAGCCATGAGGTTCAGATGTCGCCTTGTCAGTGGTTAAGGACGGGGGCCTGGCAAGGCCAGTGAGTAGTCGTTCGGATGGGACGAAAAACCGAGGTCCCATGTACACGTTGCGTGCACGTATAGAAAACTTTGACAGTTGTAACTACTATCCGGGCAAACACCCCTCATTGCAGATTGTGTGCCCGATTTCTTAAGCCCGATCAGTGTAATAATAATAATATATCAAACTAAAACTAAAATATGTAAAGAATACGGCCATTCCATTGGTGAAGAGATAACATTTGTACTTTGAACAATCATTTAAAATTTTCTGACTAAGGCCCCTGGGCCATTTTATTGCTGAATCTCTAAGTCAATGAAGGCGAGTAGACTAAAACTAATATACCCCTATGTTATATTTTAGGATTTCTGACGTCATATGACAAAGAATTGCCTGGGAATTATGGTATGCTGGACCAGATCCAAGCCTTGAAGTGGGTCCAGGAAAATATCCACAATTTTGGCGGTGATCCAAACCGGGTTACAATCGATGGTCACAGTGCTGGAGGGTGCAGTGTGGGATTGTTGATGCTTTCACCCATGGCTAAAGGTAAAATATTGACAAAGAATATATATAACTGAGTTTGAAATTCCACTGCAGGTTTTTTTAATACGACGAATGAGTGTGTAGGGTTACAGCTAGGTTTCGAGGTGATTGGGGTTAGGTGTAGAGGATATTGGGGCTGTGGGTATATTACTTTGAATATCTGAATAATACGTAAATTGGAACGGGAGTATGTTCAATTATTTTTATTGATTAAAGTTTTTTTTGAATGCCCAATAGATGTCGAGCTTGGCTCAATCAGTGAGGTGCATAGCTCAATGAACATTTCAAAACCCAATTAAGTCATTAGAACAGTTATTGCCCCCTTGCCCCCCCCCCCCCGCACACACACACCCCATCCTTTCGGTCAGGCGCGGTCTTCTTCGAAATCTAACGTATTTTTTCGAACAAATGCGGTTTAGCGGTTTATCTTTATCTTTATATTGCATTCACGTTTTTGTATTTTTCATGCAATGTTAAAGGGCCCCAAAACCTGAAATGCGCCCCCACACAATTTCACCAAGGTCTAAATCCGGCCCAATTTGTCATTTTCATTTTTATTTTTGTAGGACTCTTCCAGAATGTTATACAGCAAAGAGGATTCCCCTTTGCACACTGGGCCGTACACCACAGACACAAAGGTCTAAATCAGGCCCAATTGGCTCGGTCATGTGTACATGATATTGGCTTCCAAAATCAAATCCAGTTCAATTTGATTGTTAACTATAATCTTTGTCTTTGTCATTTTCATTTTTGTTTTTATAGGACTGTTCCAGAATGTTATACAGCAAAGTGGATCCCCCTTTGCACACTGGGCCGTACACCACAGACACAAAAGTCTCGGATTCTACACTAAGATGTTTATGGCGTCAGTCGGCTGTCTCATGAACTCATCTAAAGAAATTAAAGAATGTATGAAAACCGTTTCTAAAGAAAAAATGGAAAAAGTTATAAGAGACAACGAGGTGAGTTGTCGAGATATTTGAATACATTTGATAGTTGGCTAAGTGAATTGTGGCCGAATCAATAACGAGGAGGTCCCGGGTTCAAACTCGCTGTTGGCCGTGCAGGACAGAGGGTAAGCTACTATTGGCCGTGCAGGACAGAGGGCAAGAAACATTGTCTAGTCATTCGTATGGGAATGACAAACCGGGGTCTCGTGTACACTTTGACGAGCACGTAAATGATTTTCACGAAGATTAGGCAGAATCGCCACTCTCCGGACAAAATGTCCTTCATAGCATACTGTATGGCGTATACCCGTCTTCATTAGCCCAGTTGGAGCATAGACAAATTCATTTGCTTGTAATTTGATAGTTCCCCTAGACTCGAACAGTAAAATGCACGGTGCTAATGTTTATGTTTTAAATATATTTGTAGATGCCGGTGCCATTAGATCCAGTATTTCGACCAGTTGTTGATGGTTTGTTCCTACCTGATGTCCCAGAAAAACTCGTGAAAACAGGAAAAATCAACGGGAAGAATTTTTTAACGGGAGCGACAAGAGATGAAGGTCTTACAGCTGGTAAGCGTTGTTGATACAGAGCAACTCATGCTCATCAAAACCATTGCCAATTTTCGGAAATGGCCTCTTACTCAGTTAATAGTCAATTGCAAGAAGCCGTGAAACAGCCCTAGACGTATGGAATTGTCGGGAGCGTTAGCATAGACCTACTGAACTATCTGAAACCATACCCTAGACCTATGCAACTATTTAAAACTCTCTCCTGGCCCTATGGAACAGTGTGGAGCTTTAATCTAGTTCTATTTTGTTTGAAGCTGTATCCCCATGGGCGTGGTTTCAGGTTTATATCCACATGATGGTGAGCTTGTTTCTACGTATCTGGAACTGAATCGGGACTTGGAACAAGAATTGCCATTCTTCAAGCGTCAGTTTTCGGCCAAATATATTTCACTTGTGCACGAAGCGTTCCTCATTATGTCACCTGAAGTGAGGCAGATGTTCCCTTCTGTCGAAGCTCTTCTCATCTCACACCTGCTAGTTCCTGCTCAGCCTAACGATCCGTCAGCACTCTGCGCCGCATCAAAACATGACGCAAAACCGACTGAACCACTTGATGGCGTGTGCAGTGCATAATGACCCCCTTCATGTCGCCAAGATATTCAAAGAGAGCAATCCTAATCGTAGAACGGACGTCTTTGGACGATTCACTTAACTTTATGAATAATTAATATTTATGCAGCTTTGATGTAGATAGTCAATTTTTCCATATTGTCATCATATTACCCCTAGTGTCTTACAGCCTTCATCGAAATAACACCGGTACAGTAAACTGTTCGTAATTATTTATTTCGTTTGGTAATGAAATGTTCCAGGTTCCAGGGTTCGTCCGTCCCCCACCCCCAAAAGTTATGACAAATCCACGCCCTTGTGTATCCCAGTATTATGATGGAACTATCTGAGGCTTTATCCAAGTACTGAAGCTTTTCCCTAGTCCTGGGCATCTGAAGTTTTATCCTGGTCACATGCAACTATCTTAAACTTTATGTATATATTGTATCTACATTTAATATGCAAGAGTAGAAATGAGTACGAATATCTTATCAGGCGCACTATGTCCACCATTGACATTACTATTCATTAAGAATAGGGAACCATGGTGGTTCAGTAAGTAAGACGCTGACTTGCCAATCAGAAGGTCTCGAGTTCGCTCCAGGTGTTGGCCGATAAAGTTCAATATTTATTAACATTTTTGTTTGCAGCAAGTTCCCGTGTGAAGATGTTTGCTGTTGGTCAACAACAATTGATAGGTCTTGTCAACTGCTTCAGTGGTGATTTACCCAAGATAGAAGGCATAATGGGTAAGGAGATTTCCCTGTAGAATTCATGAAACTGTTACACATAGAAAAATCCCTGAGGCATCTGTTTGAAATCGCATGACATACGAATGGTTGGCATCATAGTGAACACTGTAGCTCTTATTAGTTGACATCTGCTCATGACCAAACTTTCATAATAGGCGCACGTTTCCCAAATATTCTTACGGCAGGGTATATTTAGTGAAATGTAAGATCTTGCTGCATGCTTTATTGACCTGTCAAGTCTGTGCAGGGCCATCAGGGCCATAACTGTAAAATTGACGGACAATAAATATCTATTGTTTTTATGGTCGACAATTTTTTCACAGGTGTTTGGGGGGGGGGGGGCTAGTCAAGCGATAGGGCACAGCTGTCCTCCTGATTAGAATATATCGGGTTCGAATCCCGACGTACGCCCCGGAGCATTGCCTATGGGCCTGACACGACATGTATGCCTAGTCTTTTCCAAGTGAAACTCTCCCTGTTGACGATATGTTAAACACAGATGGAACCATTACGATTTTATCTAATATCCAGTGCGAAAAATAAATGGCGAATACAATGCGTATTTTTTAAAACATAAACATCTATTTTTCAGAAACGGTAATGGAGCAGTACTCACAGTGGCCGATAGAAGTCACAGAAGAACAGCTCATGTTTCGCTTTTCAGAGGTAATGAACTATTTCAGGGAGTTTATTACTAGTTAGGCGGTGGTAATTATCTATTGAAAAGGTTCTTCTTTTCAGTGGTTCATGGTCGATAACCTGCCAAAGGGCAGCGTCTAGTCGTTCAGATGGTACAAAAAAACGTGAATACGTTTAAGAAACCTTGGCAGTTGGAATTCGAAATAAATTTCCCTCATAGCACACTGATAATATGTTTCTGTATTTCAGATAGTCGGAGATTATTTTATTGTAGCCCCGACCTATAAAGCGGCCAGTATTTTATCTAAATCTAATGTAACAGTCTATGTTTATAATTATGAATATAAATCTATCTGGGGTCAGTGGAAAGGTAAGTACCCTTCATAATTGGTTATATTCATCGCTGTTTATATGTTTCACATACATACATGGTTATATGATATAGAGATAGACATTGAACTAGGCCTCGCTTTCCGTGCGCCTGGTTACGGTAGTCTCTAATATCCAGGTCGTTAGGAGCATATATTGTGATGTACATTATTATAATAGGGGACCAGTTATTAATTATATAATTGCTATGTGATATGGACACTACTATTGATATTTGACGTAATCTGATATTTAAATATCTCGGGTTATTATCAGGATATATTCGTCTTCTGTCTGTCGAATCACGCTAGGTCAGTAGTCAGTGGTAACCACGACTTCAATCATCAAAACGGTGATCTCATAGCACATTGGATAAAGTCACAATGTCATATGATCTGCAAGAACTGGAAGATTACGGATGGTGTATTAATTAATACGCCAGAGTAGTGTATCCTGTAGTGAACGTATGTTGTGAAATGGCGGAACTAACATATTTCAATAATTCGCTTGTGCTTAGCAGGATACCCGGCTTCGCTCGGGGGTCATAACTCCGAAACCGGAAGTAGTAGACTAACGCCACCTGGCCTATGTAACTCCCCGGTCCGAGATACCCCTATACCCCAAATTTCAGACTCGGGGTAGACCTAGTGTACCTGCCAACCCCGAACAGACCGGCTTCGCTCGGAGGTCATAACTCCGAAACCGGAAGTGGTAGACTAACGCCACCTGGCCTATGTTACTCATCGGTCCGAGCTACCCCTATACCCCAAATTTCAGACTCGGGGCAGACCTAGTGTAGCCGCCAACCCCGAACAGACAGACAGACAGACAGACAAACGACAGTCACAAATATTAGTATAGATAGATAACGATATATTGAAGTTCGCAGTATTCAGCATCCACCGCAGGCGAAAAAAACAAAGACAAGCCCGTGCAACGTCATGGGAGGAGGTGCTCGATCCTGATTACGGCCGGAAAAGTTCTTCGGGATTTTCAGTGTGGTTCCCCTTGTCAGTGGTACACGACGGAAGGCCTGGCAATGGAACGGCGTCTAGTCTTTCGGATGGGGCGAAAAAAAAGAGGTTCCATGTTCATGTTGGCGGACATGTAAAAGAACTCTTGACAGTTGAAGTTAGATGAGTAGTCGAAAACCCCAATGGCCGTGCCAACTGTCACTCATTTCAGGGAGAGAACGTTATGCGGGGGGGGGGGGTATTTAAATTTACATAATGTCACGGGGGTTGGGTAGTTAGGTGGTTGAGTGCTCTAACGCCTGCGCTTTAGATAATATGGTTTATCGTTGAGTCAAGTGTCATGGGGTTTCTCCGGGTCCCCCCACTTCTAAAGAACCCTACGCGCAAGCAAATTTTGGAAATAAGTAATTGAACCATATGTTAGTTCAAAAGGACCAAGAACCCTACGAGCAGGCGAATATATTGAACTAAGAAATTAAGTCATATGAGTTCCGAAATGACCTAGGATTTATCAAGTGGACGTCTCTCCATATGCTAGCCAAAATAAGTAGGGGATATTCAGAAACAATACAAAAATGCGGAAATGCACTGCTGTTTTTATTAGAGGAAACCAGTGTGTGTTAATAACAGGCCAATTGCCTACACATGAACATAAACAGTTCATATCGGCGGCTTATCTGACGAACCCATTGTTCTCTTAATAATGAGTAATTGCTCCACCAATCTTCAGATATTCAGGAATTCGCCGTGGCATGCTCCCAATCAACCGTCCAATCATGATTTTGGGCAATCTGACCCACTCCTCTTGCTGTGCCACGACCAATTCTCGCAGTGTTGTCGACGAACACTTCTCCCGATCATGTCCTGGACATGCTCTATAGGGGAAAGTTCAGTACTCATGGCTGGCCAAGGCATATGGACAATATGGTGACGCTGGAGGTAGTCATTCACGACACGAGCGCGGTGGGCCCGGGCATTATCGTCTTGAAAGATGAAACATCGACCTGCACGTTGACCAAAGGGCAGAACTATCGGTGCCAGGATGTGGTCACGGTAGTACACACCAGTGACCCTTCCTAGAACAATATGCAAGTCCGTTCTGCCAGTCATGGTGATTCCTCCCCACACCATAACAGACCCACGCCCGAATCTGTCATGCTGTCCGACATTAAAGATAGCATGACGCTCATTTACACGCCTTCAAACGCGAGCACGCCTATTGGTGAAATCCAAAGTAAATCTGGACTCATCTGAGATCACCAGAATTTCTACGCTGCCTACACCATTAGCGCATGTTTGTCAGGCGGTCGTCGCGCATGCAAATGGACTGCATGTAGACGATTTCTAATCGTTTGGGCTGTAATGTATCGATCCTGGGCTTGTGTAGTGGCTCTAGGACGACCTGAACGAGGAGAATCATCAACATTGAGTGTTTGTTGGTACCGGTACCACAGTCTGCTGATCACAGACTGTGACACATTAAGCATGTTGGCTGCTGCTCGTTGTGTAGAACCCATTTGAATCGTGCCAATTAGCACGTAGACGTTCATCATGTTGAAGACGTCTCATTGCAAAGTAAACGTAACACACTAAAGCAAAGATACGCTAAACAGTAAATCTTATGCAAGAACCGATAGGAAAGCAAACATGGATAGGATAAACCAGCAGGCGGCAGTTTTCATCAACGCTTCCTTGAAGTGTCAAATTTTACAGTGAACCCCTCCCACGTGTGTTGCGCTATTGCGTGTCGCATGTGCAGCTCAGTGGTTCTGTTGGGGCGATAAGTTCTTTATCTGTGAACATACTATCAAAGCATGTCAAGTGTCCATGACTATTTATCATATCCCAACCTGCATAGGTATTTGCATTTCAATATCCCCTACTTTTTTTGAAGAGTATATATGACCTGTGTAGCGTAGTATGAAAATCTGACAATATTGCAGGTGTCGTACACGGGGCAGAAATGTTTTACCTGTCCGGTTATCCCATCAGGAGTCACCAGAATTTTCGATATGACGGAATGGATAAAGAAATGTCGAGACAACTCATGAAGATCTGGGCTAATTTCGTCAAGAGTGGGTAAGTAGATTGGGTTTCATTGAATTGTGGCCGTTGGTGTGTGTGTGGGGGGGGGGAGTTTTAATGGTTTAACGCGTGCGCGTTAGATGATAAGGTCTTCCATTGAGTCAGGTGGTTGCGATTTCCCGCGTGTACGTGATAAGGAGTAGGGTCGCTTGTCCAACCTCGTGGGTTTTCTCCCGAAATGAATATACCGGTGTTGGTCGAGAAAGTTTCTCGGGAGTCTTCGACTTGCTTTCCTCTTTCTAGTTATGCCGGACAGGCGGCCTTACGAAACAGTATCTAGTCGATCGGATGAGGCGAAAAACCGAGGTCCCAGGTATACGTTGGCATGCACGTAAAATAACCATTGACAGTTGGAATTCGAAATAAGAGTAGGCCGTAGTGCCGCTGTCCGGGCAAAATTTCATTGTGGAAGGGCCTAGTAAGAAAAATGGGTTAGGACTTGGTTATATCATTGGCAACATGTTAATGATATCCTGACGGCGCAGAATAGTGTGTACAACATCCTTTCCTGTTTTACGTTACCCATACCACAAGTATTGCTTGCGGTTCAATTAATATCGATGATAATAGATAATACCACCCCCCCCCCCCCCGCTAATAATAAGGTCGGTTGGGGTGCATCAGCATTGATAGCAGATTTAAATACATATTCACAGAGAGAACACAAATATTGGAACGGAAAATATCCTATATATTAATATTTGTCCCGGTGGCAACCACGGTGAGTTTCATCCAGAAACAGCCTCTTAGTACTGTTCTGTGAGATGGGGTCTAGTTAGAACAGTGTCCTACACAAGAATATGTAGGAATGTGCTCATCGATGGAATTATGGAAAACAGATAGGTGCATAATTTCAACTGTTTGTTTAAACTGCTTTTTTTGGTTGTACACCTGGGATTAAAGGCTACCACCTTCGTGTCATTGCGCTTTGTGTTATTGCATATTCATCCTTTGAAAAAAAACCATACTCATCATATTTTTTGTCGACAAATAGAATATTTATTATTTCTATTTCAGAACTCCATCGTTACTTCCGGAGAGTGATTTTCATATGGCTCGATATACTGACCAATATCCTCTGTATACACGGTTCTATTCGGCAGAGGACGGTCCTTACATCTCCACTGAAACTAATTTCAAAACAGCAAAACTTTCTTTTTGGAACGAAAAAGTTCCTCAGTTATATAAGGCACAATATGAACACATGTTTAACATATCTGTGGATACGCGGTGCACTCGATCCGGACGTTACGTCACATATCACAATTCAAATAGTTGGATCTTGATTGCGGTGTGCATTGGTTTGTCTGTGATAACAGTCCTTTTGTCCGTTTGTTATTGTCAGATGCGCAGACAAGTGAGTGTATTAATACGCCAGAGTAGTGTATCCAGTGGTGAACGTATGTTGTGAAATGGCGGGAAATTGAGACGTGATAAACCGGATGTGATTTGAGAAGCTGTGATGTGAATAGTTTAAAATTTTATTCCAATCCGTAACCAAAACAAACAAATCTTAAATATATAGGGTTTATACTTTTCTACCAGATTCATTTTTTAATTTTGTATCAACTGTTGATTTGTACATAAGTAATAACAACAAGCACAATATACTATATTTGGTTATGAGGACAAATGACGTCATTATTAATGCTTTCCTGAGGGGAGATAATCGGGTTGATAGCGTATAATGGGCCTAGAACTGCAGCGCGCATATTTTATCATAATGTCTATGTGGACAAATTGACGTCATGATTAGTGCCTACCTCAGGGTAGATAATCGGATTGATAGCGTATCTATCATAGCCTAGAGGCAATCTCCCAAGCAGAGTTAAATTACCTCGCAGTTCACACTAACTGGATAGCGAGACTTGTGTTGGGAATGCCTAGAAGTACAACACAAACATTTTACCATGTGAACAAAGTGACTGATGATTAGTGCTTGCCTCATGGGAGATAATCAGATTGATGGCGTATATCATGGGCCTAGAAGTACAACATAAACATTAATTTTACCAGATGATGTGTCTACGTTGACAAAGTGACGTCATGGTTAGTATTTAGCCCAATCGAGATCAGCCTAAATGAGCAGAAGTTTAAAACAAACAAATTTTACCATATTTGTCTGTGTGAACGTCATAATTAGTGCTTACCAAGTACCCCAAGGGAGATAATCCGAATGATTGTGTATATCGTGGGCCTACATCCCAAGAACGTTGAGTATACCATCCCTGTTATGGATGTGGTTATTGAGCGTGTTTGACACTGAAGGAACCTTATCAGAAAGAATTTCTATTCCAGATCAGATAAAGAACCAATAAGGGGGTGCAAGCGTAATGATTCTTTTTCCTTCTTTTGATTTAACAAAATGCCAAGGACTGAAGTGTTCTTAGTTTAGACGAGTAAAGTAATATGAAAATTAGAATTGATCGATTTTAATCATTTTTGGACCAATTTTATTGTAGTATTGTTTAATTAAAAGTCTGCGTTCTTTTGCCGTTTATTCTTAAATACGGGATCTTTAAAATCTCGAGGGGTCTTTTGGGGAATTGTTAACTCTTTGTAAACTACAGTATTGTGAAAGTTGAAAAAATATAATTCACCTTCTCATTTCCGTTCTATATTTACAAAGATATGATAAATTAAATTTATCAACATTCGGCATCCTCTGCAGCAATCTGTTTTACAGAGAATTACGAGTCCTCTAATATCTCTATAAAAGATGACTGCCTTTAACACGTGCCGTCACAGCATGCGGCGTCAATCATTGGCTGAATGGCGCGTGCATTGTTTACATAAGACATTACTGCTTCGGACAGAATGCTGTCTTTTAGTCATATTAATACCCATTTACACTAAATATGAAATAATTTTTACCTACAAATACGTCAAACGTCTTTATTTATTTTTATAATACATCAAAAAAATGTTTTAGAATTTAATTTGTCGGTGGAAAAAAGTTAATATTTGAGACTCATTAAGTCGCATTGGTGTCATTCTTATCAGTGATTGTAGCGGCCTAGCGAATATTCACTGCTGATCAGTGTGTCTCTACAGACGATATAAACAGGAAATGATCAAAGCAAGCCAGCGCCACCTACAATCTTCGCGAAAATCTTTCATGAACGTGCCTTTAATCGGACTGGTGGCTTTAATCCGACTGATGGCTTTAATCCGATTGAATCAAGCCGAGGGATTATCTACCATTGATATTTTGTTGTTTGGAAAGAAACGCGTCTATACTTCCGGTAAATTGACTAGTCAACTGGTATATGTACCGTAAATATCACATGATTCAAAAACATGAAAAACAGGCCGAAGATGAGGTTGTTTTTTTACAATCTATATATAGATCGCCTCACAGCTACCGACTCCAAAATACAAGTTAAGATTCCGCTAAATGGACCAGTAAAATATATATCTCATGCACAATTGTATATAATAACTACAATAACAGTGTCAGCCCCTCAAGGGTTAGACGAACGCAGAGAAAGGGTTTTAATCTGATTTTATATAAGTAGGCCTACTTAATATAAACCCCAGCCCCCCGGCGCAGTTTGTATCATTGTGAGGAAATATGAAAGGTCAGATGGCGAAATATCTCCAGTAAGTGAAATGTACTTAATGTAGCCGATTTCACAAGGAGATCTGATACCAGTGATGTCGCTGGAATTAAGAAGAAAACATTAAATGTTTCTTTTTGCGTTTTACTTTTCTGCATCGGCCGAGATAATGAAAACGGGCATGCTGTGGGGATGAAGGGGGCGGATGTGCGTTATTTTCCCCCGGAGAGCCTCATTTTAGCCAAGTATTCGTCGAATTCCAACTATTTTTGTTCCCATCCGAAAGACTAGACACACCACTGACAAGGGGATTGAACCCGTGAGCTCATGGCTGGCGAGCCACAATGATAGTAGTCAATGAACCACCGTGACTCCCTGCTTTTAACGAACGTTAGTCGAAGCTAATTTCTTAAACAAACAGACGGGCATACGCTATGGTAATTGAAAGATTTAAGGCCACTGGTCGTTATTTGCATTTTCCGGACGATATCGAATGTTTCAAGGCTTAATCCACGCAGAGTGAAACAATTTAACTAAAACTTTCAGCATATTCTGTTTTCATTATCTATTTTATTATACCGAGAACTGTCAGCTCTTTATCTAATCATACCTAATTCCCCTTTAAGAAGATTAAATCAAAATATCAACGGTAGATAATCTCTAGTTTTCGATTCATTTGAATTAAAAAGAGGCCCATCCAAAGATATTACGTCACATTTATAGGTGGCGCTGACTTGTTTATATTGTTTGCAGACGAAGTCAAATTTCTAATCCATAATAGCTTTGAACAAAATTTAACCATTTTTGAACTTTTAAGTGATCAAACTTTCACAATCCCTCAAATGATGGTCATAAATTCGACACCTGGCGAGTAATAATGACATTATTTTCAGATCAAATGTTTCAAAATACCTTCTATTTGTCGCGACACTATAAAACCATGCGTTCTTTTGTGTTTACTATGGTAGGCTATGGTACACTTTTGTACATAAGTCCCTTTGATAGCAGATTTCATAAACTTCGTATGATGTTGTCCGAGAAAAATGCATTGGCAATTTTTTAAAATACTAAATTTAACAGTGAACTTATTTTGGGGTGTATTTGATCTTTACATGTATTATTAAAAATAAATGTTTATTGTATATACATGTATTATAACAAACGTGTAAATATTTTTTGTTTGTATATATAATTGTGTTAAACTGGATAACTTGATCTAATACGCCAGACTCGCTCCCACGACACATCTTTCTGATCTGCTACATATTGAAGTCAGAGTAGCGTCGTGACGCAGAAACAAGTCTGACGTCATTTAGAGCAGGTTATCCAGTCTAGAAATTGTGTATGATTAGTTAATAACAGGTCATTAGGGTTATCTGCCGCAAGATTAGTCTATCATCTCACACCATGTAATCTTTCCATGATTGTTATTTTGATTTTATGCGCACAAATATGGTGTACGTTGTCATCCTCCCTGTCTGTCTGTCTGTCGTCCGTTTTCCGTGTGTATGGGATTAATGTGTATTGGTTTTAAATCTGGTGTGGACGACTTTGCCGTTGGTGGGCGTTTATCTGGGGTTCAGGAGAGTGGGCTTTGGTCTACATCCCACTGTTCTGCTGCGGCTGGCCTAGTGAAGACGGGCATACGTCATACAGTGTGCTATGAGTTCCAGCTACCAAGGCTTCTTTTACGTGCACGCCAATGTGTACGACTATACGTTGTACCTTGCCAAGTCCTCTGTCCTACACCACAGACAAAGGGGAACCACGCCGGAAAAACCGATGAACTTTCTCATCCAACACCGGGAGTGAACACAGGACCTCCTCTGGGTTAGCGCGCCAACGGCCTACTCACTGAGCTACCGCGACTCCCACTCTTTGGTTAACAGATTGAGGCATCGTATATCTCGAATTGCCTGTACGATGTATGATTCAGCTTGGTAATAGTACGACCTTCAACTGCACTTTGAAAACAGATCTCAGTGCTGAATGGTCGCCATATTACAAAATCAGTATATTTTGTTACGCGGTTCTAATTCATTATATATCTTTCATACACACAAAGACAACACAAACGTTTTCAATTTTATTAAATTGTAGCCGAAAACAAATACTTCTCAAAATTCTCAAAGTATAAATCGTCGGTAAATTATTTCCGTGTCTGCTATTCAATGGAGATAATTGTAGACAGCGTAACTGTCGAATGCGACTTGCCAGGGCATGTAAAGACTGTTTAGATTGTTGAGCTGTGTTTTGTTAATAAGATAATAGTAGTGTATATATAGTTATTGTTATTTATAGTATTGATGTCAAGGACGTAGGTCTATACTAGCGTAAACATACGTCTTTGGAAGACCGAAAACTTCTGCCATACTGAACGACAAGGGCAAACTGACGATAAGGGCCCCGTAGTCTGTAAATTAAAACTTCTGTCAGATTACCCATGGGCTTCCGGTCTCTGAATGAAAACTTCGGTCATATACTGGTCGACAAGAGCACTGCGTTAAATTTTAGCGCCTCGCTTCACTGGGCAATATATTCCATTATCAGTCATAACCCAGTTTCTTCTTCAAATAACCCTATACAGTTAACCGGTTCTCATGCTAAACGAAGCGAAAACATGATGCGGACTGTGGACCGGGCGCCGATTATGACGTCATAGCCGCCATCTGGGAAATGTGAAGTTATATCAAAAATGGAAGTCGTCCATCGATGCACCATTGCCAGATTTTTGAAGAGCGTCGCCCCCATGAACAAGACGAACAAAAACAAGATAAGAACTGACTTCGTCTTAATAGAGGTGAACAAACGTCGGCATAGTAACACTGATTGAAATACATAGAGGATATTTGTCGTTTTAGAGTGAATAACATATTTTATTTCATCGAGAAGCAAGAAAACTTATATTTTCACGAATGCGTAGCATGAGTGAAAATATAAACGTTTTCTTGCTTAGAGATGAAATAAAATATGTTATTCACGACAAAACGACAAATGTTCTATTTATTTTATGATTTTACAATCATTTTAGGTAAAAACAACATGGAATACTTTGTCCGCTTCTAGCCAGTGGAATAACACTTTTATTTCACTGATAAAACGCGGTATTCCACTACTGATCATAAAATAAAGATCCTTATTTCGTTTAGTTTTTTGTACTTTCGATGGCCTCCAGTGCAGAACGAAATTTTGATCTGTAAATAACGAAACGAAATAGGATCATTGATTTAATCAGAATTGCATTATAAGAAATTTCGGTCTTCTCTTTTTTAGATGTAATAAATTATATATTCAATATTAATTATTATTATAATATTTCTGCTGTCTATCCACCATTTTGTATAATTTGTATACATTTGTATTTTTATAATCACTGTTATTACTTGTTGAATTTTGTTAAACTATATTCACGTGACGTGTCGTTGAGTGATATTTTTGTGTATTTTTTCACCATATATAAAATCATATTGTAAACGTAAATAAAAATATGTCATAAAACTTCGGGAAATGATCTGCTTATCTTATTGAGTGTGTGCCAGCCTCTACTTGTTCAAGGACCCTTGGCATTTGGAATTCGAAGAAATGCAACCGTTCGAGACAAATTGCCTTCATAGCACACAGCATGGCGTGTGTTCAACTTCATTTCGCATCGAGTGGAAGTTGGCTGTTGGGTATAGAACTGGGCGGCTGGTCCCACATGGCGAGTAGCCATTGTCGAACAGTGATCCATTTCACTATACTTTTCAGCGACAGCCCATAAATGGTAGGGAATGACGATATTTGTTCACCCCTTCAAAACGGCTGCATATTGAGGACAGTAAGTTACTGATTATGAAAAAATGGTTTAACTTTTGACTAGAAACGTAGAATAACGCGGATCAATCGGGTATGGGATGCACACTTCTGTCCACGATTTTCGTAATATAATTCGAGACACCCCTACGCATGATACATTAAAATTTGACTGTATTTGTTGAAGTGAACAGGGTTCTAATCGGGAAGAATTTCTCAAGCGCGATTCACACTGGTTGGGGCTAACTTGGAAAGTGTGCCTAATCGTTCGGACTAAGACAAACCGAGGACCACCCGTGTGCCCGTAACAGGGTCATCGAAAGATAGAATTGGAAGAAGAAAGGTGGGGAGGCCAAAGTCCGGAGAACGTTACTGGCTACTGCACACGTTACCATAGTAAATAACCATAATTGTGTTAGTCGCCAATTACGAAAGTATTGAGTGGATGGGAAGTAAAAACTCCATGCTCTTCACAAAGAAATAATGTAATTAATTTTGAACATTCTTAAAATAAAAAAAGTTGTCGAACTTTTTGAAATTGAAGCACTGCCAGTATGTACGACTAGAGAGTCTATATCTCGGCGATAAATTGGCCGATGTTTCTCTAATAACGCATAGCCTAAAATCGAACTTGCAACATTGGCAAATCACGGGAAATTGAAAATATTGTTCTTCTTACCGGTCATTTCTAAAGTCGCGTGGATGTCACGAGGTTTAACATCTGTGGGAATAGAAAATGTGGACGCATCTACAGGCCAAGTGTGTGTGTTTGGTTGGTTGTATGGGCAAAAGATTACTCGGTATTACAGCGTTATAAAACAGGGGAATGAGGAGGGGTCTCACTGCTCCGATAAAATTATATCTCTTCGCACGGAAAATGGTGCCAATGGATCATTAATATAATAGTTTCATAATGATCTCAAAACTCGTATACAAATCTATGTGCTTTGGACCCCTGTTAACATTTTGGAGCCTTGACTGTGTTGAAGAAAAGGGGAGATTACGATTATTGTGTTTTAACCCTATCTAAATAGCTTCGTTTTCTCCAACCCACAATCTGTCAGGTATGTCTGTCGTGTACTATATTAGATGAAAATTCCTTTTTGACGCATGTGGCTCATGATCAAGGCGCTTGTTCATTACTAAGAGACTAGATCAGGGGTTCTAGTCCATCGTATACCCGTCACATTTGACCAGTCAGTGCCGAAAAGTAAGATGCTAAACCACATTTCATTTCATTTTTTTTTTTTTTTTTTTTTTTTTTGACGCGTATAATTACAACAACACACGTTTGATCTTTATACAACGAGTTAAAATATAAAGTTTCCAATTCGTAGCAATGGCGAACATGACCATCAACTACGTAAGTGGACTTGGATATGACAATACAAGGGAGGGTACTCTTATTTCGTGCAATGGAGAAAAACCCAACATGTATATAAATGTTACAGGTAGGTATGCCTCTCTTACTAACTAGGACACTCGGAACTCAACACATTTTAAAGGTGTATTATATCAAGTCTGATTTGGTCATATTTGACCCACGTAGGTGTCATGGAGGTTTAAAAATCTACTTTTCTGCATCAATTGGGCCAATGAAGACGACAATAACCGGGGTACGGGGTTTGATCACGGTGTTGGACAATAGCGGCGGACGAAGGGCCAAGCAATGAATGGACAGTGTAGTAAAGTGCATAGGAGTTTGGAGGAGCGGGGGGGGGGGGGGGTAAGGCTATTTGCCCGAAAATTTTCTTTCTCACCCGAATTTTCAGAATGAATCAATCGTTACCTAAAACGTATTTTCCACAAAGCTGCGATGGTCGGTTATTTTTAATTAATTACACAAGTACATAACAATGTAAATTTACAATATGTTAAGCAAAAGGCAACTTAATGTTCCCCATTGGCTACTGTTTGTTGCCCAAAAACGGAAATACGTTGCCTGAAAAATGGACGGTTCACCGAATCGCGGGGGGGGGGGCTGCAGTTGACGAGGGTCCCATCTACTCATTGAATGTCGATCCTTGCCAGTGCCTAACTGCCGTGTGTGGGAACACTTTGGGTTTGTACTTAAAACCAAAATATTATGTGGTGTCAAACCTGTTTTCCTTTCAGGTAATTTCGAGTTATCGTTCCTGTTGAATGATAAAGCCTCTACACTAAAATTTTTATTTTATAATTCTAATATTTTTGGCCTCAACAACTTTACAGCATTTAACAGTTCTAGGGAATTTGTTTTATTTTGAAACATATTTCTAAATAATTAAACGCTATGACCGAATAGTCCGTAGTTTATATCAAACAAGAACAACACATTGTGCTTCGGAGATTATTTTTATTCCAAGATGGTGGCCTTCAGTCGTAAAAATTTCAAGTTTTGTTGAAATTTTCTATTTTTATACAAATTTCAAAAGCAACCTGTTCATTTTGTGACTTTAATCTTTACAAATGTTAAGACATTATATCTCCCTCTATTTCCCCAAATTTTTCACACATTGAATTATATTTAGTTGCTTTCTCGCCACAGGACAGAATAAGAAAAATCGACATTCATTCAAATTATTTCATAATTTCATTCAAATAAAAATCCCATTGGCATTAGGCCTGCTGAGATTAGCAAGATAATTAATGGCGTCAACAACTAACCCACCTACTTGTGTCGACGAAAAAAGGTAACATAAAGCCTGCAACTCTGTACTGACAATTAGGAACGATCTCTGATGACACTGTCCGATCAGAGACTGTTCCTAAGACTGACGATAAATGAATCTCAATAAGTTGACAGTAACCCAAAGCAGTTGAAATGATGACTGAAATTACCTAATCCAAAGCAGTTGAAATGATGACTTAAATTTTTTTGACTAAATACCTATCTAAGTGGTTATTTATTTTAAAGTAACAATGCATCATTTGCATTTTTCTTTAAAATATGAAATTTATTACATCTTACCCAAGCTAATATGTACTCTGATTGATTATTTCATTAAGACAGCAAAATTAAAAAACCAACGCTAGGTAACAATCCATCTTCAATTCAATTGGTTTTAGAACAGGCCTATCAATAAATTTTTCAGAAAACAAAATTGCATAGTGAGCAACATGGATCGAAGTAATTTCTTTGTAAATACTCAATGGAATTGAACCATTTTTGGACTGATATTCATAGAGACTCATCTTTTGAAATGCTGCAAAAGATTCCTATACATGTACAGTAGCACTAAAATGACACATCAAGACTTTAAGACATGTATTCAACACCTTCTATTTGCAACACAATCTGAGTAAATGTAATAAATATTTATTTATTTATTTATTTATTTATTTCAGTAAACTAGTAGATACAGAGAGAAATATCAGAAACAGAATTGCTCTAGAAAAACAGGCCTTTCATATTGTTGAGAATTTGATAGAAACGGGTGTAAAAGAGGAATATCTGCTAGAAATTGTAAGTCTAGATATGAATATCACCTGGAAATTGTAAACTTAGAAATACATGTCACCATCCCTGGAAAGTTGAGAAATACGTACATGTCACCGAGTCTGGATAATGTAAGCCTAGAAATACAAATGAAATGAAATGAAATGGGGTTTAATATCCTACTGTTCTGGTCCGACTAGGCTAATGAAGAAATTTTTCCCGGATAGGTGTCCTACTCTTATATCGAATTCCAACTGCCCAGGGATCTTTTACGTGCATGCCAATGTGTACACAGGACCTCGGTTTTCCATCCCATCCGAATGACTAGACAGCTCTCCTTGTCAGGCCCTCCTACCTGCACCACTGACAATGGGAAACCACGCCGAAAAATCATGGTGAACTTTTCCAGCCAACACCAGGAGTGAACCTGCGACCTCCTGGCTAACCAACCAGTGTCTTACTCCTAGAAATGCATGTCACCAAACCTGGAAATAATGATTTTACATTGTATCCAACAAAATGTCAGGCACTAGTAGACCTGACTTTTTGCTGACATGTTAAAATTCGCTGACATGATAGAGAGGGCAGGTCATTTTCTCCTTTTGTCATAAAACAAGAGGTCCAGCTGATTGATATTATGAAATATATTTATAGATGTCTATTATATGTACAGGGTAATCTGATAGGACTGGGTCATTACCATGATGTTATTGAAGAAAGAACAATTGTTGAACTATGTGGTTATCCCCTCTGTGATAATCAACTTAAGATGGTATGTATTCCATGTATTTAAATCTTCATTTGTATTATTGAACAATAACTAATTTTTCATGGTTTCCCTAATCCATTTAATTAAGATAAAAAAAATTTCAAATAGATACACATGTAATCTCCCAGCCTGGATTCAATCAAATCAGGGTAAAAAGTGATCGATGGCTTGTTTAGGATGCCATTTTTGGTCAAATAAATCACTGATTATATTTTTAAAAAAATTAATTTCAGATACCAAAGCAGAAATATCACATTTCATCCAAGTCAAATAAAGTTTACGACATTACAGAGAGGAAGGTGAGAAAAAAAACTAATTTAAATGTGAACTGACAGTCTTTTCTTTTCATATTGCCTGACATATGAATTGAACTGAATATAAAATTATAACCTATTTCCCTCATCGAGTCATATCCCACTGCATTGTGTATGTCCGTCTTCATTAGCCATCTTGGCCCAGAAAAGTAGGACGTTTTATTTCATTTCTCTATATTGTGTAAGTAATTTAAATCATCATTCAACTTTATCAATGAAAACATTTTCTAAATAATCTGTACTGTAGTGAAAGGGGTCAATCCAAACTAGACGATTATAAAGGTGCACATTTTTAATGCTACATGTGCATACAGTCTTGTATACTATTCTATTTGAAGAAAGGTAGGTTGAAATGCCATTGCCTGGGCAAAATTTCCCTTATGGCACACAGTATGGAGTAGGCCTATGTCCATCTTCATTAACCCAGTCAGAGCAGAACAGTAGGACATTAAACCCCATTTCATTTAATTTAAATTTTGATGATCTACTTTCATTTTCATAGAAATTTTGCAGTAACCAGTGTTTTAAGGCATCAACATTTTATGAAAACCAGATCTCAACGTCACCAATCTGGGCGAGAGAAAGTGAACGAAAAGTTGAATTTAAACTTTTACAGCCTGGAAGGTATGTGCAAAGAAATGGCGTTTTGTAATGATAGTTTCGATTGTCAAGTACCATTGCTATGTTAGTAAACAAAGTCTTGATTATCCATTTTAACTTGAAATTATAAAATGGCACAGATGTACTAATTCATTCAATATCACGGCCATCTAGAGAGTTGATTATGAGCTTGTCACATGAATAATAAACAAAGTCTCTATTATTCATTTTAGTGTTAAATTGTAAAATGGCACAGATGTTCTAATCCAGTTAATAATCAATATGACGGCCATCCAATGGTCTAGAGAGTTATTGTGGCATTGGCATGTTTATGTTGTGTGCAGACAATGTCAAATTTTCCATAATTTGTCGCTTGTCTGGCGAACCGACGAATCTGAAATATTTAAAGTATTGAGAATTATGCGTTTGAAATTTGCGTTCTGTTGTTATCTCTAGCCATCAAATATTAACATTTATTTATGATTTAATATTTCATACATATACATCAGGACACGGAACATCATTTACATAAACGTTATTATTTGATGGACATAGAGATAACAACAGAGCGCAAATTTCAAACGCATAATTCTCAATACTTAAATATTTCAGATTCACCGGTTCGCCAGAAAAGCGACGAATTTTGTAAATACTGAACAGAATTGAACCATTTTTGGACTGATTCTCCTTTTAGAGATTTAACTTAACAATATTGTAGTTTGTAAAGAGTGGTCTGGTTTAAGTGGCATGATTAAGAGCTGTTTGTATGTGACAAGGAGTAGGGTCATCTGGCCAACCTGGTGTGTTTTCTGCGGGTTCTCTGGTTTTCTCTCACTGCTAAAGACCTCTACGTGCAAGGAAATGATTGAAATAAAATTGAACCATATGTTAGTCCCGAAATGACCTAGTTTGTGTTGAGTAGACATTAAATGCCATTACTCTCTCACTCTCCATCTGATGAAATTTTTGTTTCTTCTCTTATTTTCAGGGGTTTCCTAGGTGTAGATGTTATTGGGTCTCCTGATCCTAATTTAACACTGAAAGCACAGGTTGAGGAGTTACTGAAATTAGATTCTGTTGGGTCGAGAGACAAATCCACTGAAAAATCTAACAAAAATATCGAAGATGTAACTGAAAGTTTAGAAAAGGTTGATTTAAATCTTAACAATGGAAATTTATCTGATGCAATCATTGATACCAATTCTAAACAAACAGAATTTTCGGAATCTACTAGCAAGAAATATGGAAATTCTTCCTCTATTTTTAAGGAAAGTGAATCTCCTGAAATTAGGGAAAGTGAATCTCCTGAAATTAAGGAAGATCAGTTGTGTAAAATAAACGAAACGAAAACTAGTGGATTCTCCCAGAAACCAACAGAATCAAAGAGTGATTATATGATTAGATTACTGGATAAACGAAAGAAATTGTTGGCTAAAATGGCCGACGACAAACCACTCCAGGTCACATCCAATGACAAAATTCCCTCAGTTTTGTCTGAAAGTTTAGACTTAACTCCTAGAAATACTTCTGGAGATATTTCTAGTGTCAAAACATCTGATAAAGGCAAAAAAGAGCAAAAAGATAAAATTTTGGAACATGATTTAAGAGGGACAACTCTAAAAGAATCAGAGTTATCTCCCTTGTCTTTTATCTGTACGGTCATTAAACAGTGGATTACTGTAAAAACAAAAGATTTCTTGATGCGAAGGGGAGAAAACTCTGATCAGAGAGATGAAGACTTCAACTACAAGTATGCTGTGTTGTGCCAGAGTCTCGAGAGAAAGGAGCAAGAACGTGAAAAGCTTGAGGAAGGTTTGATGGAAGAATTAGATGAGTCAGAAACTAGACCTAAAAAGACGACAAAGCCTCTACCCGATTACAAGAAGATCGAGAAAGAAACAAAAGAATTTGAAATTAAAGTCAAAGAATTTTACAGTGGAAATTTCTATACTGATAAAGAGTTGAAGGAATCGGAGAAGGTAATGTTTATATATTAGCTAGGTGGGGAGCCTGGATGTCTCATGTTCGATCCTGGTGTTGGGCAAGAAATTTCATTATGATCTTCTGGCGTGGTTCCTCCTTGTCAGTGGTGTAGGACAACGGGCCTGTCAAAGGACAATATACATGTATAGCCTTTCGGATGGGACAAAAAATACCCCTGAAATCCTGTGTATACATCGGCATGCACATAAAAGAACCCTTGACAGTTGGAATTTGAATTAAGAGTAGGCTGTAGCGACGCTGTCCGGGCAAAATTTCCCTCATAGCACACTGCATGGCGATGCTCCTTTTCATTAGCCTAGTCGGTGCAGAAAAGTAGGACGTTAGGAGGCTCCTAACCAAGTTCCTTAGGATTTTTCAGTGTAGGCGGGGGGATGGATGTCCGAATGGTTAGCGTGCGCGCGCTGTATCATAAAGTCTGTCATTGAGTCGACTGGCGTGGTTTCGAATCCCCGGTTGTACGGGACAAGGAGTAGGGTCGCCTGTCCAACCTCGTGGGTTTACTCTGGGTGGACGTTAAACCCCATTTCTCTCTCTCTCTCTTTTTTCAGTGTAGTTTCCAGGGTCTGGCAAGGAAACGGCTAGGAATGAAAAACCAAGTGCATGTGAAGAACCCTTGGCAGATGGAAACACCAAAGTCTAGGCAAAATTTCCCTCATAGCACACTGCAAGGATAGGATGTTAAATCTCATTTCATCTTTTCATTTTAAACTTGTACTGGACATTTTGAACTTTGTGCTGGACATGTACTGTAATATAACTGACATTATATACAAATCTGTCCCAGATAAAATGACAAATCTGTCCCAGACAAAATGACAGACACCATAGTGATTGTGCTTGACGATGTCTATGACAGGTACATGTATATATATTTGACAGGGAGAGGGGTCTTGTATAGTCTGCTGCTCCCTAATCCCTATTCATATACAAATCTGAATACAATACTCAAGGCTAAAATGTACTCAGATTGATTATTTAACATCTTTTTAATCCGATTTAATAGAAGCTAGTTGATAATCTACATTTGATATTTCGCTTTTGTTTTGTTAATTAAATGTTAAATAATCAGTATGTGTACATTTTATCATGGATTAAGCCATGGTTAATTTGACATTTTATCGTAGATTAAGCCATGGTCAATTTGACATTTTATCGTAGATTAAGGCATGGTCAATTTGAAATTTTTGCGTGGATTAAGCCATGGTCAATTTGAAATTTTAGTGTGGATTAAGCCATGGTCAATTTGAAATTTTTGCGAAAAATGACAGATATTTTAAGATTTTGGGTATGTTGCAGCGAGAGGATGATGAAGAAGAGAGTAATGTACCTGTTATCATGCCCAGTGTTGATTCACACGATCAGATGTTAATTAGACGTAGAATCGTACTCGAACGTCTGAATAAAGTGTAAGTAGAATTTTATAACGAATGTTTGAATATGAAACAATGTCAAATTCGGTGGATTGTTCCTTGGGTAAAAATCTCAACAATATTACAAAGGCGAAAAGATAATGGGTGTGGATATAAAGATTTTTGTTGTAATGTCAGGCACCATCATGCACATATCATCTTGACGCTTCAAAAATTACATCCATTCCACTCCATTAAACCCCTGTTCCATGCCATTAAACTCATTCCAATCCCCTCCATTAATCCCCTTTCCAACCCCCTCCATTAAGCCTGTTCCCATCCCTCCATTTAACCCCATCCAAATGCCCTCCATTAAGCCCCATTCCCATCCTCTCCATTAAACCTATTTTCACTCCCCTCCATTAAACCCCTGTTCCTCTCCATTAAACCCCATTCCAATCCGCTCCATTAAACTTCTGTTCCACTCCCCTCCATTAAACCCCTGTTCCACTCCATTAAACCCCATTCCAGTCCCCTTCATTAAGCCTCATTCCAATCCCCTCCATTAAACTCCATTCAAATCCCCTCCATTAAACCCCATTCAAATCCCCTCCATTAAACCCCATTCCATTCCCCCCCCCCATTAAGCTCCATTCCCATCTCTCCATTTAACCCCATTCCATTTCCCTCCATTAAGTCTCATTCCCATCCCCCCATTTAACCCCATTCAAATCCCCTCCATTAAACCCCATTCCATTCCCCTCGGTCATCATTACTAAAGTCAGTACGATAAGCAGCATAGTCTCGATTATCCATTTAATCGTTTAATCGAGAAGGAAAGTTATGCAGTAAATCAGCTCACAATCCACTTAAGATCGCAGGCTAGCGATGCCATCGAGAGTTGATTATGGTCTGGATAAGTTATTTAATGTCTAATTAATAATTTAGATAACATTTCAAGCCTAAATAAAGACCTGCAATAGACAGATTTAGCTTTTGCATAATGTATGTTTAAGCCCCATTCCAATCCCTCCATTAAACTCCATTCTAGTTGCCTCCATTAAGTCCCATTCCCATCCCTCCATTTAACCCCATTTCAATCCCTCCATTTAACCCCATTCCCATCCCTCCATTTAACCCCATTCCCATCCCTCCATTAAACTCCATTCCATTTCATTAAATTGCATCCTCTCCTTCAAACCGTATTCCATTCCCCTCCATTTCATCCCATAATTATATCTTGATGTAATTTAATATTGTAATATTTCCGTTTACCAGAGTTGTTGGCACCATTAAAACTGCCTTTACAAGACCCATCCCATCCTATCCCACTCCATTATATCTTGATGTAATTCAATATTATAATATTTCAGTTTACCAGAGTTGTTGGTACCATTAAAACTGCCTTTACAAGACCCATCCCATCCTATCTCACTCCATTATATCTTGATGTAATTCAATATTATAATATTTCAGTTTACCGGAGCTGTTGGTACCATTAAAACTTTCCTTACAAGATACAACAGGTCAAATACGACAACTTGTTAATACTTTCAGGTACAATTTTAAACATCTTATTTGATACCAGTTTCAGACATTTATCATAAGTTTTCAAATAAGAAAAATATTGCTATTTCTTTTAATTTATTTTGTCATTTGGGGGTGTTTGGGATGTTTAACACATGTGCTTTAAATCTGTCATTGAGTCAAGTGTCATGGTTTCAATCCCAAGCTTGTGGGTGACAACCAACCTCTCTCTCTCTCTGTCAACGCAGAAAATTGACAAATTTGACATACTGACAGTCACAATGCCTTAATTTGTGCCTGACATTGTCTGTGACAGATACCGTCTTTCCCGACTTGGACGTCTCAGTCCTTCATGTTTATAAAATTGAGCGGGAGCCATAAAAAGCTCCTGATACCTTGAATATATGCAGTTTAAACGTAAACAAAAACTGAAAGTAGTTTATTAATCTCAATATTTAGGAGAGCGATTTAGCTAATTTGCAGGAGTCTTTAACGACTCCGTCGAAGGAAAGCCGACGTGCGTCGAGAGGAGCAGGAGCGAACGCTCCCCTTAAACGTGAAGGACTGACGTCTGTGTAATTAATTGTACACCCACATGATTTGTTTTTTCAGCTTGACCAGTTCTAATATTCTATTTAAACCTGTACAATGGACTCTAGTCTGCTTGATTATCATTAAAATGTAAGTTATTTCTATAATAGTATTAAATCTCTCATTTTCTGACATATTTTCTGGTAGGTCGGTTGTTGTTGTTAGTAGGGTTTACCTTCCGCTTCCAATGAAGAAGATATTGCAGGTTCTTTCCTGTGGAATGAAACCGGACGTACCCGGAGTAAATTCATGAGGTTGTGACTAAACCCTATCTCCAAGATTTGCAGTGAATATCCATTTCTGCAACAGCTTAACTGGCATCTACCTGTTTTCGTTAACCCAGTCGGTACAGAAATTTCCTCCAAGTGCTAAAGGCCCCTAAGCGCAAGCGAATTATTGAAATAAAATTTAGAGAGGACGTTAAACCCATCTCGCACCCTCTCTCTCTCTCTCTCTCTATCTCTCTCTGTTTAACTAGTTTATCAGTATATAGCAACTAGAGAGTGGTGAATATTTGAAATTTCAAAACTCAAAAAGTTAAACTTTGTTAAAGGAATTCCTGAACGGCAAAAATCGAAATTGGTTTAACCTTACTGGGGCATTCATGTTTAGTTAAATCAGATCATTCCTACTGTAAATAAATGAAATAACAGTCTCAGTGAGTAATTGTTATAATGGCATTTAGTAATTCAACTGGAAATTGTGTAATTACAAACAATAATATTTTCAATGATTGATATTTTTTTTTTATGTTTATTTTGTAGATTAGCTGTAAAGGTACCAATAATAGCGAAGTCGTTCAACCAACCAACCACTCGGCACTTCCTGGAGGTCATATTAAATGGTTTAGGTCACCAATTACAGGATTTAGACAGTTTAGTAGGAAATCTGTTGACATGAAATATAAATATTAAATATAAAAATTACAAATGTTTTCTTTCTTAATTTAATTGTCAATAAAAAATCAAGTATAGATCCTAGACATATGACGGTCGTCTAGACGGGGCCCTTGATAGGAAAAAAATGTGCTGGGGTGAAACCTTTTTTGCGCCCCCCCCTTCCTCTTCTTTCTAGCACTAGTCATATCTAGATGATTCACTAGCAGATTGCGATAAAGCGAAAACCATTGTACATAATCATATAAGATTCAAAGGAACAATAAAAAAAAATCATGCATAATTGCCCATTTCAATTTTGAACTTTGACATTCATCGGCCCCATAGACTCTTATGGGCCCTGGGGCAGCGCAACGGCTGCACCTGTACTGGAAGGTCGCGCCAGGGGTCATACGAACAGCTTTTGAACCTATGACGTCAGACATTGATTAATCAATCATGGTTGATGTTTCTAGTGGTTTACCAACAGTTCGAAACATCGCACGCCAAGAACTCGCCGTAACAGACCGTTTCATTGGTTAATCCCTCACTTCAATCAGGACAACTCTTCCAGATCCTAGTGTAGTAAAGACAGGTAACACGAAATTTTGAACTACAAAAACGAAACGAAATAGGATCTGTGTTTTAATAAGATTGCAATTTGAATGGATCTTGTTCTTATACTCGATACTGAAGAGAATATGAACTCCTGTTTGTGCAAAAATTAAAGATTATAGCTAAAAGATTTGAATCGATTCTAATATTAAATAGACTCACTTGCTCAATATTTGCACTCCTAGAGAAAAATAACGAATGGGAATAGAGTGATGGTAGTTTTTTTATGTTTGATTTGTGAAATTTCATTCTGCTTGTCGGAATAAACGAGCCCAAGACACCTGTGGGAATCCCATGTTGTTTCCCTGAGGGACAAGTGTGATGTCATAAGCCCGTGAAGTCATGGTCTCCATGAAATAATGATGATCGAATTAATACAAAGAAGACAGAAATAAATGTTTATTCTTTTTACAATTAAAAATTGTTATGGTACAGTTTGTAGCATCCAGGACCGAAATAGACGGCGTACTTATCGGCATATTTAAATCGATTATCGATACTCCATACCTAAGATATCTTTCAGAATTTTCTTTCCGTCCACATTTCGATTATTTCTCCACACTCCAAGACTTGCAAGTATTTATCGCCCAAGAGTTCCTTTGTAAAGTATTTTTGGGTACAGTCCACTTAAAACAGTCGGTCAAATCCTTCTTTGAACATACCGAAAACCTTCAATCACGGTTCACTGTCAGAATTATCGGAAAAGATTGCCTTTTGATCCAAATTTTCTTCAGGCTTTGGATAGATCCTCGTCGATATTTGCATTCACATCTATTCCATCGTCAATATGTTGGCTAAAAAGGATTGATTATTCGTCTGACTTCGTATTACTATCCATTTTGTTTTTGCTTTCAATTCAATTAATCCAAAATGGCGACGTATAAACAAAAACATACACGTACATTCACGTGATTACTTCGGTAATTTTCGCTATTTGGCGGAATCTATCGAGCAATTATCCAATCATTGATGCCTTTTAATAGAAGAGCCCATTAAATTTAAGGGTGAAATGGCGTTGTATATGTCGGATATAAACCTACTCTCCCTCGGATTGATATGATAGAGATCATATCAACCTCGGGTAGTTTAATATCCTTTATATATCCTTGCCGGAGATATTAGGTGTTTTCACCTATCCCTGAGAAATCATGGGATCGAGACCATTTTGCGCAAACATATGAAACGGAACTAAGACTGTCACAAAATAGCATGTAACATTTGAATAAATAAACAAGTGCTTTTTTATTATCCTTGCATGACATTTAGAAGTGGTTTCCGTTTCAAAATCCGTGACAAAACTAACTTGATTCACCTTTTTCACATCCAACTCATAATATATTATTTTTCTCGTATAATTTAGGTCAATATATTTTTCAGTGGAGTAGAATTTTATTTATTTGAGTCCTCGGACAACGTTCGACGATCTGAGGCCTAGCCCGCCCTTTGCGCACAGAAAATCTATCCAGCCTCAGGATTAAGATTGGGTAACAAAATGTCGACCATCTTAGCAGTTGGCCAGACCCTCTATATTATATGGTTTTGAGTTAAACGTTTAGAAATTCCAGATCGACTTAATCGAACCTAAGAGACTGTTTCTATTCTTATCCCAGGTCAACTAAAACGTGTAGATCGTGTAAAATTCTTAGGTGTATAAAATTGCTGTTTGTTTACCGACCACTTACCCAGCGGGCACGCAACGTTGTTACAACATTGTGACAACGTCAATATTGGTCGTGACGTTGTACAACGTGTTTTCGACCAATATTCGACGTTGTATTTACGTCATATACAGGTTGTTGACACAACGTTGTCACAACGTCATCAAAACGTTATCAAAACGTCATATACAGGTTGTTGTCACAACGTTGTCACAACATTGTCACAACGTCATCAAGACGTTATTCTAACGTCATATACAGGTTGTTGTCACAACGTTGTCACAACGTTATCAAAACGTCATATACAGGTTGTCGTCACGGCGTTGTTACAACGTTGTTACAACGTTGTCACAACGTTGTAACAACGTCTTCAAAACGTTATCAAAACGTCATATACAGGTTGTTGTCACAACGTTGTCACAACGTCATCAAAACGTTATTCAAACGTCATATACAGGTTGTTGTCACAACGTTATCAAAACGTCATATACAGGTTGTTGTCACGGCTTTGTTACAACGTGGTCACAACGTTGTCACAACGTCTTCAAAACGTTATCAAAACGTCATATACAGGTTGTTGTCACAACGTTGCCACAACGTTATCAAAACGTCATATACAGGTTGTTGTCACGGCGTTGTTACAACGTGGTCACAACGTTGTCACAACGTCTTTAAAACGTTATCAAAACGTCATATACAGGTTGTTGTCACAACGTTGTCACAACGTTATCAAAACGTCATATACAGGTTGTTGTCACGGCGTTGTTACAACGTGGTCACAACGTTGTCACAACGTCTTCAAAACGTTATCAAAACGTCATATACAGGTTGTTGTCACAACGTTGTCACAACATTGTCACAACGTTATCAAAACTTCATATACAGGTTGTTGTCACAACGTTGTTAAAACGTTGTCACAACATTGTCATAACGTTATCGAAACGTCATATATAGCAGTTCGAACCTTGACCTCTGATTGTCAAACCAAGGTCACCACGAGACTCCCAGGGGTCAATTTAGTTTAAATAGCCACGACCTCAAGGTCGTCGGATCCGATTTGGGATGGGCGAGTTATCTGCCCTTAGACCACACCGCTGTAATGCTCGGCTATTTCACTTTCTAGGTAATTTTCTCCAAAAATGTCATCCGATCGCCCCGGGGTTTGGTGACCCGATAGACTGACCCAACATTTGTTCTTCATTTTTTAAAATCGCCAACCAAAAGTCGTGACCTTGACCCGCTAGGGGCCCCGGAAGTATTTTGGTTTTTGAACCCTAGGGGCCCATCTAATAAAGTCAGGACCACTGGACCTTGACCTTCCAAAATGTCATCTTGGTCCACATGACCCCGGTAGGTCAAGGTCATCAGAAAGGGTCAAGGTCACCAAAATATCTACTGAGTTCGATGCTCCCGGGCACATGGTGGGGCCCCTGGTCTGCGCGGCAAATCAAAGGTCATGACCATGGATAGGCAACTCATTGACCTTTCGAATGGGGCCTTGACCTTTGACCTGACCCTTGACCTTGGGATCGAAAAAGTCCCAAAACTTCATGAACAACCCAGATATCACGAATAAATCTCAAGGTCAAAGTCGTGACCCGCACCCGCAAGGTCAATTTTGGGGTTGTAACCTGAGTCAAGGTCATGACATTGCCTGACATTCCCTGTTCCCGGCAGCCATTTAGGTAAAAAGTCACATTCAAAATCCCGAGAGAATGTGAAAGCGGAACTTTCAGAATGTTATTTGGAAGAAAATATTTTGCTTTCTTGTCAGTCAAATAAAGATCCCCAAATTCGATGATTTTTAAGTATAATAAAACATTTTCACTTTCTTGTCATTGAACACGGCGAATTTGTACTGCATTGATCGCGGATTGAAACATTTCGTCGGGTCCCACTCGGCGGTGTGCGACATCGGTCAGTTATTTGTTTTATAATTTTTCGGAAATCATAATTTCCTTTAATGCATTAAAGTTATTGGTGTACTAAATAGGCAATACTGGCTTGCTTTCATGTTGCTGAGCACACGGGTTGGGAAAGCAAGAAAAGGCGTTTGCGTCCGTCAAGTATTATAAAAATGTATTATGAACTTTAAACGAGATGCCTCTCCCGCACCTAAATGTCGCTGTTTTTACATCCGGTGTTTTTCAATTGAAATAATAACACAAAACACAGAAAATGGTGATTAATGCATATTGTGTAGTGTGCAGCGTTTGCTACACAAATTCAGTGCATAAAACAGGAATTGCAATGCGCTTATCTATAGAAATTGACGTATGATCTTGGGTACAGTTGTATTGGTTAACGACGTAGATCGAGATTTAATAACACAATACAAACTATAATACATTTTATTTAAGGCTTATTGTAAAACAACTAGAAGCTGACAAATATTCCGGTTAATTCTTCAGTAAATTATCTGGTAACACTAGCGGTTTTTTTTTCCCGCGGAAACTGATAACGTGACTCTAAATGTTGCCGCGAAAGATGCTTCTGGGACGCCATATTGGTTTTTTGGTTCGTGCCGAAGGTAAGTTCTATTATTTTAACTCTCAACCGGGTATGTGGAAGGGATATAAAAATCGTCAATTGCTTCTTCTAAGGCTAATATAAGATCAGATAAAATTATATTGTATCTTAACACCCCATTAGGCTATTAGAGACAGCATACAAATACAAACAAAACATTAGGCTACCTACGCAACAGCATTATCAATGGCTATAAAACAACAAAAACACCAACTATATTTACATGTATGTAAAACACGCGCACCTATACATACATCATGTAGTAACAGAGACTATTATTATTAAGTTGAATATGAAAGCCCCTCGAATCTGATTACCGGCAATGTAGGTTTGGACTTTGTTGACTACCGCGATGTAAGTGGCGACGTTCATTTCAAAACACACTCAGACTGCAGCTGTGCCGAGTGAATTTCATATTTTTAAGTTATATTTTTAAAATGTATTAAAGTAAAGCTTTAAAATAGATGGTATCTATAAACAGTCCTACCTTGTTACAGAATAATCCTATTATTCCTATAATTCACTATTGCCAGTTGAGAAATTGGCCAAAATATCATTTTCAACTTCTAATTCAAATGTTTGCAGATAGTTTTTCCATGGGGGGGGGGGGGGTAGAACAACAAAGGTGGTAATTGTGTTATTATTTCCGGTGTGAATGATTTTATAAGTGCCATAATGATACCTATGATCCTATAATATTGAGTTGACAGCCTATTGAGCAAAAGATATAGAAATAATTATGTTTTGACTTTCTTAAAAAATATGAAATTCTTGCTTTAACTTTTAAAACTAGCTGGACCAGCTGCATGATTGTGTCAGTCCGCTCAGAATACACGAGTCTAGGCCAAGCGACGTAGAATTTAGAACCGACGTGATCTGCACTTGTCTAGGCTAGACATTTGCGTTGATGTGTTGCGCAAGTAGATCTAACTAAATGAAATCTCTCATCATTAGTTTTTTCATATTACTCATATACATTGCCGTTAAACGAATAATTTGCGACACATAGCAAGCCATTTGATCTATTCTACACGTCACTGGGCTATTTGATTTGACGGAGTTTTGTTACCCACGGCAAAATCTCGATCGACGTAGACTTAACGCAATTTTTATCATTCGGCTTCACTAAACAAATTATTAATAAAAACAGCCGTAAATCGACATCTAATAGTGCTAATGTAAATTTAATAATACTATTCCGGTATAAAAAAAAGAAATAATAATAAAAGAATAATGAAATCAATTCAATCTCTTTTAAGTATTCAAATGATCATTTTAAGTAGATACCGTTATATTACTGAGCGCCATGGAAAACGCATCACTTTTTTTCCCAAATATTTTATTACTAGTTGGTTTTGTATGTATAATATTATGCAATACTATGAACTATTGTTTCACACAATGCTCCCAAACGCAAAAAAATTCGGCCCGTGTGCACAAAAAAAAATTGCATGAGATGCACATGAAAAACCCAATATTCACCTGCAGCATTGTGTGTGAGCCCTTTAAAAGCATGTTTTCAACTTAATGTGCTGTACATGAACTGTGAAACGTGAATTTGTCGTAATTTGTTGTTGGACGTGTGAAGGAATCGAGCTAGAGATGCCGAGACTTACTGAAAATCAACGGAATGAAGCCAAGGGAATGTCCAGGGCTGGCATGTCTACGCGTGCTATTATTGCCAGACACCTCAATTGTCATCAGTCCACTACTGTAAGGTTGGTGGAACGTATTCGAGTTACTGGATCAACGCGTGACCGTCAACGTCCTGGTCCACAACGCGTTACAACCCAGGCTCAAGACCGCTACATCCGGGTCACTCATCTGCGTGACAGATTCTGCCCAGCGACTCAAGCATGTGCGGCAGTCGTCGAAAGAAAAGGACCAGTAAGTGCCAACACCGTAAGACGTCGTCTAAGAGAAGTAGGACTCGACGACGACCTTATGTTGGAGCTATCCTTAGGGATCATCACCGTCAGCGGCGTTTGATATGGGCTCAAGGACACACCAGGCATGGAGAAGAGTAGACTGGCAAAGTGTGCTCTTCAGTGATGGGAGTCGCTTTCATCTTTATCACGCTGATGGCCGTCAACGTGTGTGGAGACGTCTTGAGGAACGTCTTGCAGACTGCTGCGTCTTCGAAACGAATCGATGGGGTGGGGGAAGTGTAATGATGTGGGGAGGCTTCACATTTCATCACCGGACCGCCCTACACATTTGCAGGGGTCGCGTTAATGCTGTAGCCTACCGTGATGATGTCTTGCAACCAATTGTTGTTCCGATGTTTCGAGCGCACCCACAACTTCAGCACTTCCAACAGGATAATGCACGTTCGCATACCGCCCGTTTTAGTATGGACTTCCTGGCTGCTAACAACATCAATGTCTTGAACTGGCCAGCCATGTCTCCGGACATGGCACCAATAGAACATGTCTGGGATGAGATTGGACGCCGTCTGTATCGGAGACCACAGATGCACACCATTGCTGCTTTAGAAGCTGCTCTTGTCCAAGAATGGAACAATTTGCCCCAGGCCTTCTTTCAAACATTGGTTAATTCCATGCGACGTCGCTGCACAGCGTGCGTAAAAGCCCGTGGAGGACACACGCGCTACTGACATCTGTGTCGTACTTTTGGTTTTGACCCCTCTGACTTTGTACCGTTGATTACAGATTAAACATCCATAAGTGTACAAATGTGTTGTTATTGATGTGTTCCCATTTGAATATTGTTCACAATAAGAAGCAAAATAAATAAGATATGTTTACAGGATCATTTTGTTATACGAAAAACTAAGTGATGCGTTTTCCATGGCGCTCATTATATATAAGTGTGAAACCTGGCCATTATTTAATTAATTACAGTTCTAAGTGAATCCCAGCAAGCACAAAATATTTCAAAAACGTTTTTTGTTTTTGTTTTTGTTATTTTTCTTGTTTCTAAAAGGTTATGTAAAAAAAAAAAATATTTATTAAACGTTTTTTAAATGTTTTAAGTGTAAGTTTTTCAGAAGTTTTCGATAAATATTGATAAAAATGTTTAATATAATATGTTTAGATAACGTTCATAATTGATGTTTTCTTACAAAATTTTCCATTAAAACGTAGTACCGTAAATATGATTTTTTTAAACGTTTATGAACCGTTTATAAAGAACCCGCAATGAATAGGTAACAATTACCTATACACGCCATTTGAAAAAATTTTTTTTTTAAAAAACATTTATTAAACGTTTATTACACCTTTAAAACTTAATTACGTTCTTAACTTAATTGCAAAATATCTATATTTAATGTACCGGTATATAAAAAAACCCCAATAAAGGTCAAGATTAATTATCTTATACATATTTTATTTTAAAACACACCCAAGGTTGACAGTTGGCCCAATCAAATTTAAACATCTTTCCGCCAAAAAGGAATCCCAGCCAAACCTGCATGGCTGCTTTTATAGAGCTGTGATAAACTGTCGAGTTTTATAAGTTGCTAGAAGGCGTAACAGTTGAGAATTAGGTATGTTACGATTAATTAATATTTTGTGTCCATTTAGAAATAATTATGATATAAAAGAATTAATTGTTTCGGTAATTGTAGATTATTTTCTACTGGTGCCATTTCCACGTAGTCGAACTTCTATTGTCATTTCATTATTGAACCCTCCTTGCAAAGTAAATTGAGTATTTTAAATATGTTTTATTATCTCTTAAATGATTTATTTTAGTTCTGAAACTTTAGTGTTTTTATTTTATAATTGTATTGCATTTTAATCATTTAGTTTTTGGTCATTTGCTATGTCTGGATTTGGAAAGAGCTATTTCAATCTATGTCTGGAATTGGAAGGGGCCATTTCAATATTTATAGTATTGTATAATGGACTTTCCCATTATCTATTATCTTTAAATTTATAGGGTTACCAATTTCATGAATTGTTTAGATAAGTTGATACTACCCCAAGCTTTGCAGGGAGTGTTAATAATAATGTAACGTGTACAAAACTTCGAGCGGAAATTAATAAGACATTAATTTCCCGTGATATATTACAAATGACAAATGCTATATGAACTTTGTGCTGTATGAACTATTTATATAGTCTTTAGTGAATGAAAACATTTTGGCTACCATTCCTGGTTTTGAATGTCAAATATGATATGAAAACGAATATCGGTTTGTAATTTTTTTAACCGTTTCACCAGTAGTAACCGATGAACGGTTAACCAAGTCGCTGTATACATCTTAATTATTAGGCAACCAAGTCTACGATCTTAATTAAAAAGATAGGTTGACACGCAACAAAACATATATGCTCTGAAAATTAAATCTTGTACTTTGTCGATCTACGGACAGGTGGATATAATGCCGGGCTAGTGCGACTGTTAACACCACAGCTCTTTAATTACATGCTTGTGGGTTTTAGATTTCATTCAAGTGAAGGGTAATTTTATTATTAAATGTACAACATCAATATCCATGAGCATACACCTGCATAATTGAACTGACATTGATTGTAAATATTACAGTGATTGAAATATAATAATATACTAGATGTGTTTCATTTATTTCATGTTATAGCTATAGGTAACCCATCTGATGAGCATTGGTGGTTACCAGTTTAAAGTCGTATTCTTTCTTTTGAAAACAAATTGATAAAATAATCGTACATTCGTTTTCCAATCGTCTTCGTCTTAAAGGAGTCAAGTCTCTAACTCAATATCATCCACAGTCTTCGACATTGCAACCATGGGACTCATTGTTTAATTAAACCCAACATCAATGTTGTAACCGTGAAAAGATGGGCTTCTAATGTCCAATATTTAACACAAAGTTAAAGTTTTGAAATTGCCACACGAATCGCGCGCAAGAATGCTTTCAAATTTCATTTGTAATAGAGAGACTCGAAGAATGAAGTTAAATATACCCAAGAGAATACTATATGCGGGTGTAAACTTGAATAACCAGACGCCAAAGACTGGCATTCAATTTGGACTCTTCGCGTATGGGGGGTTGGATGGCCGAATGGTTAGCACGCGCACGCTGTATCATACGGTCTGTCATTGAGTCAACTGGCGGGGTTTCGATTCCCCGGTTGTACGTGACCAGGTAGTTTGGTCGCCTGTCTAACCTGGTGGGTTTTCTCCGGGTCCTCCGGTTTCCTCCCACTGCTAAAAAGACCCCTACGCGCTAGCGAATTATTGAAATAAAATTGAACCATGTGTTAGTCCCGAAATGACCAAGTTTGTGTCAAGTGGACGTTAAACCCCATTTCTCTCTCTCTCTTCGCGTATTTCGCCGAACATAACTGATTAGACATTACAGTAAAAACAGAAACGATTAAATGTAAATCAGTTAATATACAAACATATTACATTATTATATGCGTTGCAACCCATTTATGTCCATATCTAGGTGTCAAGGAATGGAAAGTCAAAATTCGTGGTATTGTCAAACGCATAAACAGTATGTCTTTTTATTTTAACAGGTTGATGTCTAATTCCCTAATGGCCCAATTTAATTTAAAGGGAAATAAAGGGAGGCGGTCCATAATGGACTTAGAAATTTACAAAGTTGTCCGAGGTTTGTTTTTATCATACTCAATTTACGAACATATCCTTAAATATCTGATAATCAAACATGGTATGGGCATACACGAGTTTTTATTACTTCATCGATGAGTGTTGATCTTTTTATACGCCGACATTGAAATGTGGTCGTATATTGTCCTCGCCCCCGTCCGTTCGTCCGTCGGTCCGGCGTCCACAATTGCTTGATCACTTCAAAAAATCTTGGGGACGCTCTAGAGGCCAAAGTTAATATCCGATTGACTTTAAATTTATACACGGTGTTTAAGGTCATGAGACGAAGAAGCCTATTGATTTTCAGCGATTTCCGATAATTACTGCCAGAGTTATGGTCCTTGATCACTTCAAAAAATCTTGTGGACGCTCTAGAGGCCAAACTTAATATCCGATTGACTTTAAATTTATACACAGTGTTTAAGGTCATGAGACGAAGAAGCCTATTGATTTTCAGCGATTTCCGATAATTACTGCCAGAGTTATGGCCCTTGATCACTTCAAAAAATCTTGTGGACGCTCTAGAGGCCAAACTTAATATCCGATTGACTTTAAATTTTATACACAGTGTTTAAGGTCATGAGACGAAGAAGCCTATTGATTTTCAGCGATTTCCGATAATTACTGCCAGAGTTATTGCCCTTGATCACTTCAAAAAATCTTGTGGACGCTCTAGAGGCCAAAGTTAATATTCGATTGACTTTAAATTTATACACAGTGTTTAAGGTCATGAGACGAAGAAGCCTATTGATTTTCAGCGATTTCTGATTATTACTGCCAGAGTTATGGCTTTTGATCACTTCAAAAAAATCTTGTGGACTCTCTAGAGGCCAAAGTTATTATATCCTATTGACTTTAAATTTATACACAGTGCTTAAGGTCATGAGACGAAGAATCCTATTGATTTCCAGCAATTTACGATAATTACTGCCAGAGTTATGGCCCTTTATCATTTTGAAAAATCTTGTGGACGCTCTAGAGGCCAAAGCTAATAACCGATCGACTTTAAATTTACACATAGTGTTTAAGGTCATGAGACGAAGAAGCCTATTGATTTTCAGCGATATCCGATAATTACTGCCAGAGTTCTGGCCCCTGATCACTTCAAAAAATCTTGTGGACGCTCTAGAGGCCAAAATTAATATCCGATCGATTTTAAATTTATACACAGTGTTTAAGGTCATGAGACGAAGAAGCCTATTGATTTTCAGTGATTTCCGATAATTACTGCCAGAGTTATGGCTCTTGATCACTTCAAAAAATCTTGTGGACGCTCTAGAGGCCAAAGTTAATATCCGATTGACTTTAAATTTATACACAATGTTTAAGGTCATGAGACGAAGAAGCCTATTCATTTTCAGCAATTTCCGATAATTACTGCCAGAGTTATGGCCCTTGATCACTTCAAAAAATCTTGTGGACGCTCTAGAGGCCAAAGTTAATATCCGATTGACTTTAAATTTATACGCAGTGTTTAAGGTCATGAGACGAAAAAGCCTATTGATTTTCAGCAATTTACGATAATTACTGCCAGAGTTATGGCCCTTGATCACTTTGAAAAATCTTGTGGACGCTCTAGAGTCTAAAGTTAATATCCGATTGACTTTAAATTTATACACAGTGTTTAAGGTCATGAGACGAAGAAGTCTATTCATTTTCAGTGATAATTAATTCCAGAGTTATGGCCCTTGATCACTTCAAAAAACCTTGTGGATGCTCTAAAGGCTAAAGTTAATCTCATTGACTTTAAATTTATACACAGTGTTTGAGGTCACGAGGCGAAGAATCCTATTGATTTTCAAAGATTTCTGATAATTACTGCCAAAGTTATGGCCCTTGATCACTTTGAAAAATCTTGGGGACGCTCTAGAGGCCAAAGTTACTATCTGATTGACTCCAGATTGATACACAGAGTTTAAGATCTTGAGGCGAACAAGTATATTGATTTTCAATGAATTTTTATGACTTGAAACAGCTAAATCCATGATACAGTAGTGAAAGTTTTGTATACAAAACGTTAGCATGGGGCAGAACTTTATAAAAACCTAACAAATTCTAATGGTTTTCTGAGTTGTTGCTCTTAATCAGATTTTAGTGTATTATAAATGTTTCATTACCGAAAAAAGTAAAAATATGTGACAACTGTTGTTGACTGCCTGGACGATTTAGCTACTGTGGGCGTATGTTTCGTTGCCTGGCAACCTATCTTTATGACTTGGACAGCTAAATCCATGATACAGTATTAAAAGTTTTGTATACAAAACGTTAGCATGGGGCAGAACTTTATAAAAACCAAACAAATTCTAATGGTTTTCTGAGTTGTTGCTCTTAATCAGATTTTAGTGTATTATAAATGTTTCATTACCGAAAAAAGTAAAAATATGCGACAACTCTTGTTGACCGCCCGGACGATTTAGCTGCTGTGGGCGTATGTTTCGTTGCCTGGCAACCTATCTTTTTTGTAATTTAACACCCATGCCTTTCTTACACGTACAAATTTATGGAGAATATGAAAGTAATAACACAAGCGATGTCTCATATAGAATGTGTTATTGGGTCATATATAATATAATTCATATGGGGTTTAACGTCCTACTGTTCTGCTCAGACTAGGCTAATGAAGATGGGCATGCGCTATACCGCGTGCAATGAAGGAAAAATTTGCCCGGGCAGCGGCACTATGGCCTACTCTTATATCGAATTCCAACTGCCAAGAGATCTTTTACTTGCACGTCAATGTGTACACGAGGCCTCGGTTTTTCATACCATCCAAACGACTAACAGTTGTCCTTGTCAGGCCTACTGAACTTTCTCGGCAAATGTAGGGATCGAAAATGCGACCTTCAGACAAGCGAGCCAGCGTTTTACCCAATAAGCGACCTTTGGTCCATAATTCATGGGATGCAGAATTATCTGTTACAGCTTCAGGACCACCTTTTTGATCGGACTGAATTATATAATTTACAAAATTTGACAGAGTAAATATACAGTTTTTTGTATTCTTCAGATAGTGTAATGATCAGTCAGCCGAGCTGCAATGAAGCCGAGATAATAACAGCAGTTTCGGCTCATCTAAAATATGAGCCGGACAGAAGAGGGACCAATTAAGTACATGTACAGTTTAAATTTGTTTATTACATGTCATATTTTATTATAATCTTTATAAGCCATTTTAAGTTCTTTTATCATCCATTTAATTTTATTTTATTTTCTATGTGTGATGTCCACAAAATGTTAACTGCGCCATTGAGCATTGAGTGTTTTATATTGGTAATATGCGCATTATAAATAATAAATTATTATTATTATTACAGTACCAATTGCATTAAAATTACTTTCTCATTTTTAGCAATATCATTCATTACCCATTACATTGAAAGTAAATAATTACATTTTATTACTATTTAAAGATTAGTGCTAATTTAGCATTTAATCAATCAGATTTAAAGACATGCATACCATTGGATAGTTCGCACTGATGTTTATATATATATATTCATATCTTTCTCATTTTATTTATTTGTGTATATATGCTTGAAAACGACTTGTGAAATCTTGTTGAAACGTTGCAGTGAAATAAACCATAGTAATTGTTATTCCATAAAAGTGCGTTATTTGATTATGTTCTAATTACTAAATGCCATTCAAAGAATGCGCCATTAAATGTAATTGAAATGTAATTGACCATTACATGATTTTCGGAATGTAATTAATTACATTTCCATTACTCATTACTTTTGAAATCTTCCATTACTCATTACATGACCATTACTTAAAATTTAATGATCAGATTCTATTACCTTTACCCATTACTGCAAAGTTATATGACTCTAGCATTAATATTGTCTGTAATATAATCGTTTGAATTGAATTTTTTGAAACTACGTACTGTCCTATTAATTGATACTGATTTTATTCAGAAAGAAGCAATTAGATTGGTTGTGATGGGACACAATAACTTTGATTCTAATTGAGTGAGAGTGTTGAAACTTCGCGTATCGTTTCACTATGTCAAAACCGTGGCCCAAATCTGTCGGGCATTTAAGCCCCCCCCCCCTTCCCCGCACACACACCTAATTTAACTTCCATTCTGCCCGGCCGCCTATTCCCGTCTTCGTTAGTCCAGTAGGGGCAGAACTGTAGGGAGTTCGGATGGGGCTTATACTGGGTTTTATACAACCTCAAAACAACAAATTCTGACGTTGTGACAACTTTTCGCCAACCACCACACAACGTTGCAAAACAACAAATTCTGACGTCGTGACAACTTTTCGTCAACCACCACACAATGTTGTGACAATGCTGCTTGAACGTCCGTACAACGTTGTCACAACTTTTCGTCAACCACCACACAACGTTGTGACAATGTTGCTTTGACGTCCGTACAACGTTGTCACAACTTTTCGTCAACCACCACACAACGTTGTGACAATGTTGCTTTGACGTCCGTACAACGTTGTCACAACTTTTCGTCAACCACCACACAACTTTTCGTCAACCACCACACAACGTTGTGACAATGTTGCTTTGACGTCCGTACAACGTTGTCACAACGTAAGAGTTTGTTGCAAAACAACCTACAGCTGACTTATTTCAGACGTTGTGATACAACCTCTGAAAAACGTTGTCACAACGTTCTGTGCCCGCTGGGTAAAGTTCATTGTTAGTAAAACTCACCTCAGAATATAGCCATTTAATCATATGGCGTACGAAAGTAAAATAATTAATTCCTTAAAGCGACAATAATTGTATTTTTAACGTCATATGTTTAAAATATATTAAAAGAAAGCCTTAAAATACATGGCATCTATACACAGTCCTATCTTTTTAACCTAAACCTATTGGCAAATATATCAATCTCATTGAAAGATTGAAAACTCATTTTCTAATATACCGGAGCAACTTTCCACTTTTCCTAGTTCTCGCCCGCGATTTCACTACTGTGGAAGCAGCCATTAAACATCAACCAGGGGTTTAACGTCTTTCTTTGTCTGCACAAACTGGACCCAGACAACACATCATATTTGGCCCAGACACGGCCCATATCTGGCAACATCTGGCAAAATGATTGGGCCGGATATGGCATGCCTGAGCTGGGCCACGTCTAGCATATCTGGGCCGGACGTGGCCCAGTCAGAGCCAGATCTGGCCCACATTCGCTAATGCACACGCCCGCCTTGTATGGGCCAGATCTGGCTAAAAGCTGGCAAAGATATGGCCTGCCACATGTGGGCCAGAGATGGCACAACTGGCCCATACCTGGCCCAAATATGTCCCACACGTGAAAATCATGCCATGCCAGATGTGGGCCAAGGATGGCAACCTGAAAACATACGGTTAATCCCTGTCCTATCCGTTCTTAAAGTCAGAGGTTGGATAGTCTAGTAGTTTATCGCGCCGCGCTTGAAATTATAAGGTCTGTCATTGAGTCAAGTGGCGTGGTTTCGAATGCTCGCTTGTACGTGACAAGGAGTAGGGTCACCTGTCCAACCTCGTCGGTTTTCTCCGGGTCCTTTCCTCCCACTGCTAAATAACCCTACACACAAGCAAATTATTGAAATAAGGTTGAACCATATGTTAGTCCCCAAATGACCTAGTTTGTGTCAAATGGACGTTACAACCCATTTTTCTCTTTATCGCCCCTTCTTAAAGTCTCTCCAGCCAAGACTTTCTTCCCAATTCCATTCCGTACTCCAGATAGTAGAAATTAAGGATATCTTGCATGCAGCACAAACAACATACATTTACAACAAAAGCAAAATCTTCAATTATAAAATTTATTCCTCCATATAACACAACACAGTTCTATGGATAACAATCACTATATTATATACACACGACGTTTTAACAAGAATTCACTGGTCGTTATAAGGCATACAAATTATCCATGTCAATATCATTCTCCCCTTGTTCCTGCAGCTGTCTTCTCCTCCTCTTCCCCTTGTTTATGTTCTTCCCCCATTCAACCAGTTTTTTTACAACATTTTTGAAATTATTTTCCATTGCATCCTTTTGGTGAAGTTTGATCACACCTGCAATAAATGCAAAAAAAATGTACTTAAAAAAACATGTTTTCCTTCTTTATATCAAGCATGGCCTACGGGTCTGTCAATGCAAGTACCAAAGTATTAAGTCAAATAATTCTTATTTGCCAAGGCAAAAGAATAGTTAAATGAAGTTATTTAAATAATGAAATCACATAAATCTTATCTAATTTAATATTATTGTAGAGAAAGTAATAAAATGTACTTATCTTTTTTATCTTTTAACTAAGTTCTGTGAAAATAATGCACAGTTGTGTACCATGGGCACTGCAATGTCTTCAGTTTCTTGTTAGTACTAAATTCTATTAAGTTGTTTTACTGCACTGAATTTTACAATTTTAAATTCAGCCAATGACCAAACAGATTTCAAGATAGTAAATGGGCTGTTAATTATGCTTTGTTGAAAGATTTACATGGTTGACCTGCTAGCTTCAACAAATTGTATAATCTGAGTACAGAATCTGCTATAGTAATTAAAATCTAACTACTTTGTAGCATGATACCCAACACTCAGGCTGTGTTCAAATAAACTTTGTCTTTATTTCATTGACTTCTTTCAAGAATAATTTATTATTTTTGCTTTAAAGATTTACATTTACTGGCTTTTTGGGGAGGGTGGGTTGAGAGGATTCCATTTATATTATATACAGTACATTCAAAAAATATTATTTTAAGACTGTAATAAAACTAATATAGAACACAGGAAAATTCTACTTGAAACTAGATGTCATATTCTGAGCCGAAATTTATTGTATTGATATTTTGAGGCATTTGGCCAGTTGGATGTGGGCCATCTCTGGCCCTAGATATGGCAAACTTCTCGCATAATATTATTTTTTCATATGTTTTGAATATAAAACAAAAAATTTAAAACTTTTAAACAAACTGACAAGATATTCTTAGATACCAGTTACAAAAATAAGTTTAATTCATCAGTAGTGAGCCAATAGTTGCCAAGTGTTACCCAGACTGTGGCCCACATGTGGCAACATCTGGCTGGATATGGGCCACATCTAGCCAGATGCTGCCAGATGTGGACCATAGTAGGCTCAAAGCTGAGTGGCTGTCTGGGGACTAATGACACGAAAATCCAATGTAGGGTGGCTATGGCGAAATTCTGCCCGGACAGCGGCACAACGCCAACGGTCTAACCTTAGATCGATTTCCGGCTTTCATGGGATCTTTAACGTGTTGCTACTGGTACACATTCATAAATGCGCCCTTGCGTGGACATAAGAGGTCCCATATGTCAAAAGGAAATGGGGTTTAACGTCCTACTTTTCTGAACCAACCTGGATAATGAGGAAAATTTTGCCTTGACGACGGCGTTTCAACCTACTTTTCAGCGATTTTTTCACTGTCAAGGATTCGTTACGAAATATAACAAGACCCTGGATAGTGCCGGATTAAGTTAGCATATATAGGCCCCTGGGTGAAAATGTCACTGGATCCCTTGCATATTCTGGTCATTGTCCATCGCACTCACGCAAATGGTCGATATATAGATTTATTTGGCACAAACACATACAAAATTTATTTATGGTATCAAATTTTGTAACCCCTTTAATATTGGGGACCCCTGGCCTGTAGCCCTGTAATCCCGTCCCGACCTCCCGATTACCACTTTAAGACTGCACTGATATGTGATAATTCGAGGAAAAGTGATATGTTGTGTCTCAATAGGGGGTAAAAAGGTTTACGTTATTTGATATGTACAGGTAAATATAACGCACAATACAACATCGTTGATAGTCAGTTGATATTCAACATCGTCGTTAATCAGTAACTATACTACATTATAAATAGAGTCAAGCATCGGGAATCAGTACATATACCATAGTATAAATGTGAAAATGAAATGAAATGAAATGAAACGGGGTTTAACGTCCTACGACTGGGCTTATGAAGACGAAAGTATAAATGTACAAACTTCCCAGATACAACAGTTTACGATAAGAATTTAAATTCCTCATGAAAAATGTATGCCATTCATAATTATAATTATGGAGAAAGTCCGGATGGTGTAGAAATCCATGTTGTTCTTAATACACATCTAACTATACTTACTTTTTCATTGACACCAGATATCACCTTATTGGACATAATTAATGTTAATGCCACACCTATTCTAAAGTAGGGGGGTTGGATGGCCGAATGGTTAGCACGTGCGCACTGTATCATAAGGTCTGTCATTGAGTCAAATGGCGTGGTTTCGATTCCC